TTTTAGCCTCTGACATGCTCTTGCCTATTGGGTTTCTTCGAGTCTGTCCCTACATATGTACGGTTCAGTCATCAGCCAATCACTGAAGTATAATTTCAATGGACAGTTTTGGAGTTATTTCTCTTTAGTTCTCTCCTGAGATTTGCTTCTCAAGTTCCAGACTCTGACCTACTCAACCACTGAGACTGCAACTTTCTGCTTGGGTTCTATTATCCTCTGCACAGAATTAGAAATGTCCTCAGAGAAAAAGCTGTGGTGAATGAATATGGAGCTCACTCCATATTTTTTCTTCTCAAGGACAGTAACCTTGTTAGTCCTCAGTGTGTTAGCTGCTCTCCAATGCCTATGAACAGTCATTTTACTTATTTTGTCCATGCTCCATTATTTTCTCAATGGAAGGATTCATTCTACATGCTCTGTCAAGACCAGAGTAGGAATTTCTCTACTCATATTCTAAGATTAAACCAATAGTGACCCCCCTTGTGAAGTATTTCCTTATCTTTTTTCCCTCGAGTAGAATTATTATCCTCTCAATTAGAACCTTTTCTTGTTGCCATAGCACCTGACACATACCTCCATCATTCCCCCTTATTAAATAACATTTTTATGAAACAATTTTCTCTCCAATGGACTGTGAAGTACCTTAGAATAAATATGAGATCCTAGTATTTTTACACCACTTCCCCCTCCATTTATTGCCCTATTCATCCCATTACCTTTTCTGTAAAATTCCTTTTAAGACCTAACTATATTCACAGTCTCTCAGCTTTCTCCCCATCTCCTCCAACATTTTTCTTGAATCTACTCCCATATCACTAAAACTTACATTATTTTGGTCTTTGACAATGTCCAGGTTGCCAAATCCAATGGTGAATCTCATTCCATCTTTCTTGACATTATTAGCAGCATTTGGCACAACTGATCACTCTCTTAAAGATCCTCACCCCCAACCTGGTTTCTCCCTATTTTCCTGATGGCTGCTCTTCATCTCATCAACCTCTAAACACTGTAGGATCTCAGAGCTCATTCTTAAGACTTCTTTTCTATCATAATTTCCTTCCTTGATATCTTGCCTCATAGCTTTAGAAACCATCCATGTTCATGGCATTCTAACTTAAATTTTCAACCTGGACTCCTTCCTTGAACTCCATATTCATATACCCACCTGCTTACTTTACATCTCCACCTAGATGTTTAATAAACATCTTAAATTAACATGTTCAAACAGAGCTCAGTATTCTTACAAACTTGCTGTTTGCACTATGCAACTCTGTAATTCAAATATGCTCAGGACAAAGACTTTCCAGGTTTCTCCCCCCACACTGTTTCTGATCTCTAAGCCAATCCTGTCACTTCCACCTTCATATTATACCCAGAATCTGACAATTTCTCATTACCTCTGTTGCTATCGCTCTCACCCGTCATCCTCATCCCGTCTGTATTACTGCATTAACCTCCAAATTTGTCATCCTGCTTTGCTCTTGTTCCCGTGCAGTATATTTTCAAACTCAACAGCCTGAGCGATCCTATTATGTAACATGCTCCTCTTCTGCACAAAACCCTCCAATGACTGCATTCAGAATAAAAGGCAAACTTCTTAAAATCACCTACAAGTCCTCACATAATCTTCCCTACTCTCTCTTCCTTACCTTTCTAACCTTATCCTGTATTACTACTTTATGTCTTGTTCCTTCCACAGGTACCTCCTCCCTCTGCTCCAATCCCCGAGATTTTGGCCTTGCTCTTCCCTTTCTTTGCCCTGTATGCTGGTCCCTAGGATACCCTCATGGCTTACTCTGCGACTTCCAATAGTTATTTACTCAAATGTTACCTTTACAGTGAGGGGTTTTTTTTCCCCCAAAGGGGAAGGGAGAAAAAGAGGGTGGGAAACATCGATATGAGAAACATTGATCGGTTGGCTGCATTCAGTATGTGCCCTGACCAGCAACCAAACCTGCAACCCAGGCTTGTGTCCCAAATGGAATGGAACTGGAGACCTTTCAGTTTGCAGGATGAACCCCAACCAAGCTACACTGGCCGGGACTACAGTGAGATCTTTCCTGGCCACTCCATCTAAAATTGTGGTACACTACCCATACTTACATGAACATCTCCTATCCAACTTTGGTGTTCTTTTTCTCCCTTAACACTCACTATTAATATATTACATAGTTCATTCATTCATTCATTCATCTTCTCCATTAGAACATAAACCCTGTAAGAGTAGAAATTTTTGATTTATTCACAACTGAGTCTTTAATGCCTAAAAGAGGTGCTATGTAATTATTTATTGAATGAATGCCTTTTGTATCATTTGTATCTACCATCAAATACTCCTGTATCTAGTATATACTTGGTATATAATAGTTAGAAATATTTGTTAAATTAATAGGTACCCCTTTCATCATATATATGTAACTTTATTTTTTACAGAAATTTTAGTTTCACAGCAAAAGTGAGTGGAAAGAACGGAGCATTCCTACATATTCTAACTACGTTCCCCAAGTCCCACAAAACACAGCTTCTCCCACCAACATCTGGCAGCAGTGTGGTACATTTGTTACAATTTACCAACACTGACACATCATTAAGTCCACAGTTCACATTTGGTTTCACTCTGTTATACATTTGTGAGTTTGGACAAATGTATAACATATCCACCATTACAGTATTATACAGAATTTTATTGTCCTAAAATCCCGGTTCTCCTACTCATCAATCCCTCCACACAAATTTAGCAACCACAACTTTTCTGTCTCCACAATTTTGCCATCTTCAAAATGTTATATTGGGTTGGCCAAGAAGTTCATTTGTTTTTTTTCTGTAAGGTGTCTCTAGTAGCGCTTAGTTGTCTTTAACTTCATTCGAAACAATTTTGCCAGATTGTATTGCGACAGCTGTCACATCAGTGTACATTAAAAAAACTTAACCAAATCAGTGAATTTTTGTGTAGCCATCTGAATATTGAGATAGAAGAAAATACACATTTTTGGCATATTATGCTTTATTATTTCAAGAAAGGTAAAAATGCAAAAAAAGATTTGTGCAGTGTATGAAGAAGGTGCTGTGACTGATCAAACATGTCAAAAGTGGTTTGCGAAGTCTCGTGCTAGAGATTTCTCACTGGACAGTGCTCCACAGTCTGGTAGACCAGTTGAAGTTGATAGTGATCAAACTGAGACATTGAGAACAATGCACATTACACCACATGGGAGATAGGCAACATACTCAAAATATCCAAATCAATAATGTTATTGGTGAAAATGAAAAATGTGATTTTTATTTTATGGAAAAAACCATATAGACTTTTTGGCCAACTCAACAGTTGGAATAATATGAGTTTTTTAAGATTGACTTTTTTTTCTAAAAATTAGGAATTAAGGTTCCTCCATGTCTTTTTGTGGCTTGATAGCACATTTCATTTTAGCACTGAGTAATACTCCACTGTAAGGGTGGACCAGTTTTGTTTCTTTTTGCCTATTCACCTACTGTCATCTTAGTTGCCTTCAAGTCTTGACAATTAGGAATAAAGATTCTATAAACATTTACGTGCTGGTTTTTATATAGATATAAACTCTCAACTCATTTGGTTTAATATCAAGGTGTATGGTTGCTGAATCATGTGGTAAGACCTTTTTAGCTTAAAACACACACACACACACACACACACACAAACCTGTCAAAACTTTCTTCCAAAGTGGCTGTACCAATTTGACTCACATGAACAATGAATGAGAATCCCTGTTGTTCTACATTCTAATATTTGGTGTTGTATTTTGTATTTTGGTCATTTTAATAAGTATGTAACATGGTATCCCATTGTGTTTTTCAAAATTGCAGTTCCCTATAATGGTGAGCATCTTTTCATATGCTTATTTGCCACCAGTATCATCAGATATCTATTTACATCTTTTGCCCATTTTCTCATTAGGTTGTTCCTTTTTTTTTTTTTTAAGATTTTACTTATTTAATTTTAGAAAAAGGGGAAAGGAGGGAGAAAGAAGAGAGAGAGAAACGTCAATGTCTCGTTGTCTGTCCCACACGACCTACTGGGGACCTGGCCTGCAACCCAGGCATGTGCCCTGAATGGGAATCGAACCAGCAACCCTTTAGTTCACAGGCCTGTGCTCAATCCACTGAGCTACACCAGCCAGGGCTAGGTTGTTCCTTTTCTTAATTGTTGAGTTTTAAGAGTTTTTAGTATACAGTTGACTCTAAAACAACAGGCATGGGTGCAGGGGCACCCACCATCGAAACAGTCGAAAACCTGGGTATAACTTAAGTTGGTCCTCCAAACATGAAAATACAGTTGACCCTTGAACAAGTGGGTTTGAACTGCGTGGGTCCACTTAAAAACAGATTTTTAAAATCTCCATATTAGTAAATGCACACAGCACAAAGCAAAGTTGTTAAGGGTCAAATGTACGGTATTCTGAGTAACAATCTTCATCAGGAATGTCTTTTGCAAATACTTCCAGTTTGTGGCTTCTCATTCACTTGAATATACATTTTTACAATATGCAATCATTGCAGTGTGTATACTTTGCTTTTTAATATAATACCATAGCAAATTTCCCATTTTGCTGGAGACTTCCAATTACCATTTTAAAGGACTGTAAAATAATATCACGTTTCTCCTTCTACAGCCCCAAAGAGGGTTGAATATCCTCAACTTACAGGTGAAGAGATAAGAGAATGGTAATTTGCCTAAGGGCCTAAGGGCTGCTAAACGAAGAGCTCAGACTTCCCACCCCCTGGGAACCCATCCAGCGCCTTTCACTAGGCCAAGCTGCATTTCCCTCGTGGAGAAGGTTTCTCTGACCAGGTAACATTTCCGCTTTCCTTCTGACCTCCCAAAGCTCTTTCAAACTTCGTAAAGCTGGGATGCTTTGACTGACAGACCTCTGGATATAGGTCCCTCCGGCCGAAGGGCGGGCACTCTCTCGGTCCTCCTCCTCCGCGGGGGCAGGGGGTGGAGGCAGAGCGAGGAGTCCACGCCCCGCGGCTAGTCGCCAGCCCTGAGCTCACTCAGTCGACGCACTGAAGGCGCGGACAGCGGACCCGACCTCCCCAGCGTGGCGGTTCCAACTCACATCTCCAAGTGCCGAGCGCGCTGTCCCACCGAGACGAGGGAGCGCGGGCTGCTCGGCTAGACGTGCGCAGCACCGCGGGTTCCTCGGAACCGGGCGCGGTGAGCGCAGGGCGGCGCGGCCAATGCGGTCTGGTCTCCTCGAACCAGGGGACCTGGGTCCCTTTTGACTCTCCGTCAGGCCCAGGCGTCCTTCCCCAGTCTACTACTAAGAGGCTACCGCGAAGTTGGAGTAATTCCTGATCTCCACAGCTGTTCCTTTCCTCATCCGGACCTGAGGAAGTTTGCCGCAGAAACGAAAGTAAGTAACTCCTGGGTGCGTCTGCGCAAGGACGGTTACAGCAACCGCGAAGTTTTCGGGACTCAGCTTCCAAGCGGGGGCGGGGCTTCCGGGCCGTCGTGTGGGTGGAGACTGCGTGCCCCAAGGCGGGCGGCGAGTGGCCAGTTATGTGGTGGGCGGGGCTCGCGGCTTCCCCGGAAGTTCCACTGAGTGAACCTGTATTCTTGGAAATTGGGTGGTGGTTCGGATTGACCCCGTTATCCTTTCTGCCGGGAGGACTAGGCCGGTGGGGTTTGTATTGTCTTAAAATTCCCAGAGATCTTTCAGTCAAAGGACCCTGGCTTTACTCTGTTTCAAAGCGAGCTGGGAGGATGAAAGGAAAGAGGAACGAGTATCTCGTGTTAGAATCCTCCGCGGGAGTACCCGAAAGTCGGGCGCAGAATTTCTAACTGTCCTAGGCTCAGCCGCTCTCTTGCTGGTCAGAGCTTTAGGTGTAAATCCGTACAGAGGCGGATACCTGTCCTGGAGCCACGGTAGCAGTGTGACGTTGGAACACACCCTTCGTTTTTGTTATTTTGGTAGGAATGGTGGGCCTTCACTGCAGTTTCAGTAAGTTACAGTCGTTGCATTAATAGGGTTAGTAGGTGTCTCTGGCTGGGACTTCGAACCCTTGAGAGAACCAGTTTGTGGCAGTTGGGGCTGCTGCGCGTTGCAAACACAATAAAAAACATTTCCACATAATCTTAGACGTGTACTAGCAAATGGGAAAGAAGGGTCAACAGCCACACTGACAAAAGGGACAAATGTCATAACCCTAGCAGGCTTCTTCAGTGGTCAGTGGCATTTGCTTCTATGAAGTGCTACGGAATCTCTTCAGGGTTTTGAAAGAGTATAATTAGCTCCATCCCTCTGAGCATTTGCCAAAAAACCCACAAGGAGTGTTTGTGTGTGTGCGTGGGCGGGGGGGGGGGGTGATGTTCATTTATTTCTGTCTTGATGGTTTGTCTCTTCCTTGCTGAGAACTCTTGTTTATTTTGGACAAAGCCTGAGACTTATACTCTACCAACTTTGCGGAAATCTTTTCTTCCCTGTTTTACACTTGAAGAAATCAAGGCTCAGAATGAACTTTGGAATGTAGAGTGACAATAGTACTTGTTTTGCGTCTTATAACCACCTGGCTGATGGTAGAGTAAGGAGGAAATTGTGATCATAGAAATGTGGAAAACTGCAGCTCTTCTAAACAGAAAGCGAAGACTAAGCCTTTAAAATTTAGGGCATTTCATTATTGTTACTGATAATACAGCAATAAAGATTAATTTTCATTTTCTTCAGTCTGCACTATGTTGCCCACTAGACATATATTTCTACTTTCAGCATTGTAAATATTAATAGGAATTAATAAAAACTCTTTTTAAAAAATACTTATTTATAGAGAGAGGGAAGGGAGAGGGAAAGAGAGGGAGAGAAACATTGATGTTTAAGAGAAACACTGATCACTTTGCTTCTCACATGCCCCTAACTGAGGACTTGGCCCACAACCTAGGCATGTGCCCCGACCTGGAATTTAACTGGTGACCTTTCTGTTAGAGAGAGAATGCCCAAACCCACCGACACACCAGTGAGGGAAAAATTTATAAAAATTTTTAAAATACCAACTTCCAAAATTGCAAGCTATTATTTGGGGCTTATTAATCCATAACATATTAATACCACCAATATGATATGGGAATTTGAAAAATATACCTTCCCATGCTTTAGTTGAATATTATAATCTGGAAAAAATTATTGTATTAACCTTAGAATATCGATTTTGAACCATATATTTTCATGTTTTTAAAAATTTAGGCTGTACATTCCCCATGTTTCTGATTGTAGCATATTCATTTAATATAGGTAAGCAGGACTATCAGATTAGGTCTTTGCATATTATTTTAACATAGATTATTGTTTGCTATATACACAAAGTAGCATGGGTTGGTGAATTAATAGGGGAAGTTTGAGTAGAGAGTCAAAGATTTCTTCCAGGATCTGCCACTTTAGGTGAATCATTTAACTCCAAATTTTAGTTTCTTTATTTGTGAATTGCAATGATAAGACTGAAACTTCACAGGATCATAACACGCTCATGTACAAGATAATGCAGTTAAACTCTTTCAGTCTTGTCTCTTGTTCATCATTTGGGTCTTCCTTGTTCAGAGCTCTTGTTTATCAAGTTGTATAAACAAAAGCATCAAGCTGTATAATCCAAAAAACTTGAGAGAAGTCCACATGAGATACATGAGTAAAATCAGAGTCCTATTAGCAGGGAAAGGGGACAGGTGGTAATAACAGGTAGGCAACCAACATTTTTGTCAGGCTCCTTATGGTCATCATTGAATTGAAAAAAATTGTCCCCTACCTATGAAAGATAAATATGAATATTTTTAAATAATTTAAAAAACTTTTTTATTTATGTATAACATATAGACAAAAGTGCACAGATCATAACTACACAGCTCTATGTAGTATTACAAAGTAAACATTACCCAGATTAAGAATTAGAACATTGCTATCACTCCTGAAACCCACCCCCATGCCTCCTCTCATTCACTACCTCCTGTCTCCCACCTAGCAGTAACCACTACTGCTAATTTATGATATTAGCAGTAACCACTACTGTTAATATCATAAATTAATTCTGCCTATTCGGGGTGTATTAATTATTTTATTTGTATTTTTCCTCAGTTTTATTGAAGTATAATTGATAAACATATTTTTATATAGATCTGAATATTTTGATATATAGGCTCACTCTGCCTTATAGATAATTTGTGGAATTTCTTGGAATTTTTAGTCAATTTGGGGGGTGGGACTTGCTTCTCTGTGTCTCTGAATTAATATCCATTTATCCCATTGAAATGGACACAATTAGCTGAAATTAGGTGTTATTACATGATATAATAGGCCAGTGTGCTTTCATTGATTATTGTGTAACAGGGCTCTATAATGTGGTTTCTACCTGTTTAGGTTCACAAGGCCTTCGTAAGATATTCAGTGCTTCTAAAGTTGAATTTTTCATGGGAAAAAAGAGTGAAAAAAAATCATTTGAAACAATCAAAAAGATTCATAAGATTAAGAAAGACTAAACTAAACCAGCAAACTGCAAGACTATAAGAATTGACTTGGGATGGGAAACACCTCATAAAGTGCTGCAGACCCACCTGGAGGCCACCTGAGTTCTATCATGCTTGCTGAAGGCCCTTTAAATCTTAGTTGTCTTGGCAAATTTAAGGAGGCAAAACCTGGACAGAAGGAGAGATACCAAATATAACTCATAAAATTGAAGTTTTATACCCAAATGGGCATATTTCAGAGCATGGTTGTAATTCCTTCTGTTTCTTTATTCTGTGAGTATTTTTAAATGTTTTTAAAACATTCACCTATAGCATCATTTCTGAAACCTGATAGATATATTTCAGAGTATGGATGGGCCAAAACTTATTCTTTCCTCTGGATGTGTAAATTATTCTATATGTTTTTTGCTCTTTGTAATGTTACTAGGAACATCATTGTATGTACATAATCTTTATCAGCATCTCTAATTTGATTCCTAAGAATAAAGAACTTGTTAGTGAAAGCATTATTTCCTTTAAAGAATAAATTTTAGCCTTACCTGGGTGGCTCATTTGGTTGGAACATCATCCCATGCACCAAAAGGTTTTGGTTTGCTTTCTCTCCCCCTTCCTCTCTCTAAAATCAATAAACATTCTCGAGAGAGGCTTAGGAATCTCCGGGACATCTTTAAACATTCCAACATCCGGATCCTAGGGTGCCAGAAGGAGAAAAGGAAGAGCAAGAAACTGAAAAGTTATTTGTAAAAATAATGAAGGAGAACTTCCCCAATCTGGAAAAGGAAATAGACTTCCAGAAAGTCCAGGAAGCTCAGAGAGTCCCAAACAAGTTGGACCCAAGGAAGCACACACCAAGGCACATCATAATTACATTAGCCAAGATTAAAGATAAGGAGACAGTTTTAAAAACAGCAAGAGAAAAGCAGAGAGTTACCTTCAATGGTGTTCCCATAAGACTCTCAGCTGATTTCTCAAAAGAGACCTTACAGGCAAGAAGGGGCTGGAAAGAAGTTTTCCAAGTCATGAAAGGCAAGGATTTACATCCAAGATTGCTCTGTCCAGCAAAGCTTTCATTTAGAATGGAAGGGCAGATAAAGTGCTTCCCAGATAAAAGTCGGGTTAAAGGAGTTCATCATCACCAAGCCCTTATTATATGAAATGTTAAAGGTACTTATCTAAGAAGTAGAAGAAGAGCAAAAACTATGAATAGTAAAATGACAGTAAACTCACAACTATCAACTTCTGGACCTAAAAAACAAAAACTATGCAAACAACTAGAACAGGAACAGAATCACAGAAATGGAGATCATCTGGAGCGTTATCATTGGGGAGAGGAAAGGGGAGAATGGGGGGAAAATGTACAGAGAATAAGAAGCATAATAGGTGGGCACAAAATAGACAGTGGGAAGTTAAAAATAGTATAGGAAATGGAGAATCCAAAGAACTTATATGTATGACTCATGGACATGAACTAAGGTGGGGAAATGCAGGTGGGAGCAGGGGGTATAGGGCAGAGGGGAATAAAGGGGAGAAAATAAATGGGGCCATTGTAATAGTGTTTCAAAAACATATATTTAAAAATGCACATAAAATCAATAAACATCCTCAAATGAGGATTTGAATTTTTTAAAATAATTTTTATTATAAATGTAATTGTGTTTATTGCAGAAAATGTGTGGAATCTAATAAAAATGTAAAGAAGAAGTAAAAATCATCCTGCCATCCATATATAATCCTTGCTAACATTTTGGTATCTTTTACTATGTCATTTTTTTGTACATATGTATATGTAACTTACAGACTACAATTTCAAATGACCATATATTCCATTTTATGAATATGCTATAATTCATTTAAGTGTGTCCTTCATTTTGGGACAATTAAATAGTTCTTTTAAAAGTTCATTTAATGATCAACTACCATGTGTCAGGTTGTGTGCCAGGCACTGGAGATACTGTGCAAGAGTTTCCTGCCTTCTGTGAGCTTAATTTTAAAAAACTCTCAAATTACATCTGACTTAACTGTTTCAAGGATGCTGTGAATATATAATGGAAAGACTTAGGATGGCTTCCCTGAAAATATGCCAAAGGATGAGCAGCATCTGGCCAGGAGAATGCACGCTAAAAAGGTTGCAAGGGGAGAGTGGGATAAATTACCCTCATAAGATGGGTTTTTAATGCTGCAGAGAATCTATAGGAAATGGAAAAGGAGGCCTAAAACAAATGCTAAAATATGTTTTATTTTTACACCCTCCAACCCCACTCATTCTCACGAGGATTGTCAGGAGAACTGTTGAGCAGAGTGATCCCAGTGGCACCTTGCCACTCTCAAAGTCTAGTAAATGTGGATGAATGTGGGTGGCAGGGCCAACTGTAGCCAGAGCGATAAAGCAGGCAACAAATGAGTTTTCAAATATTCTTTTTTCATATAATACTTCCTGGTCCAATGAGGCAGTCATTATTTCCTTTTCAAAATGAGAAAATTGAGGCTTCTGTAAAGTACCCAAGGCACAGGGCTAATAAATTATAGGGCTAGATATCATACAAGAGATAGAAGGGCCTGTTCCCATAGGTGCCCATGGTCAGGGTGGCAGGGCCCACCACAGCCTTTATACAAGGTGAACGTTGGTTACCTGAGCCCAGCTGCCTAGACCGCTGTCATCCTAGGCGTTTTCAGAGACTTTTCCAGGTACTTTTATTTTTTAAAACTACCCCCAACATTTTATTATAAAAAATTTCAAAGTGCAAAGTTAAAAAGTTTTTACAGTGAACTCACATATATCCACCTTCTATGCTATTTTACACTGCTTACTTTATCAGATAACCACCCATCACTTATCCCTTTGTCTATTCACCAGTCTATCTGCAAAGTACATCAGAGATAGCAGTATACTTCCCCCTAAATATTTCAGCATGCATATCACTAACTAGAGTTCAATATGTTTACAGATTTTTCTTTTGATGTAAAATTTAATTTTTTAAATTTAATTCTTGGGTATTGCCTGCTGAATATTGACAAATACTTAAGCCTGTATAACCCTAAACCCCCACTGACATGCTAGAACTTTACCTTTCCCCTAGAAAGCTCCCCTATGCCTCATCCCAGTCAATCCTTACCTTGTTCCCAGGCAACCAGCATTCCTTTAACAACACAAATTAGTTTGACTGTTCCAGAACTTCATGTAAATTGAGTTATATAGTATATATTCTTTTGTATAAGGCTTACTTTACTTAGCACAATGTTTTTGTGACTCACGTTGTTGCGCGTATTATTAGTAGTTCATTTCTTTTTATTGCTGGGTAGTATTCCGTTGTATGAATATACTACAGGCTTTTTTCTTTGTTTTACCCATTCTCTTATTGATGGACACCTGTCTCCATTTTGGAGTTATTACAAATAAATCAGCTGTGAACACTGCACAAGTTTTTTGGGACAAATGCTTTTATTTCTCTTGGCATTGGAATTGTTGGGTAATAGTGTAGGTATGTGTTTAATTTTATAAGAAATTGCCAGACCTTTTCCCAAAGTAGTTGTACAAATTTATACTCCCACCGACAATGTATGGGAATTCTGGTTGTATCATACCATCACCAGTATTTGGTGGTGTCAGCCTTTTCAATTTAGAATATTCTGGTAGGTGTGTAGTAGTATCTCATTGTGCTACCCCATGGATTTTTATTCATCATTTCAGTTTAGGAAAACTGAATGAATGAAAGCAGAGAAAAATGTAGCAAGCAAATAGTTCTCTTTTGAGATTGTATACATTGTATATTTTATAGTACTGATGTACAAATTCTCCAAATTCTCATCCTTTTTACATCTTCCTGTTCTTTTGACATAGTGTATTGTTCCTTTTATATTCTTTAAATTTTTTTTTGTTGTTCATAATCAATGTAAGGCTATTCTGCAGTTTAATTACCTGAAGTTCTTTGGTGCCTAACATTGCTCTTTGTTGTATCCACTGAGTTCATTTATGATGAACTTTTTCTTTTGTATTTTATAATTTTAGAAAGGGATCTCATGTTAACTTAGTTCTTTATTTCTGGGAGTTTTGTGTGGCCTGGCTTGATTGAGTTTTGTTTGCTTTAGCCTTATAATCCAGGGATGCCATTAGTCTGTGATCACTTTATATGTAAAAGTTCTTAGTTTGGGGGATCTTAGTTATAAGAGGTCTCTAGATTCAAGGTTCAAATCTATCTAAGGATAGGCCCAAGGTTATTAATTTACAGAGACTTTTTTTTATACCCTATACCCAGTCTAAGACAAGTTTCTGTACTAGTGGACTGCTTTTTTCTAGTCCATCCTTTCATTGTAGGGTAGGGTAGCACATTGAGGAGTGTCACATTAAGGGGGGAATCTTTCTTTCAACCCTCTTGCATTTCCTGATCTCAGCTCTTGTCCTTGTCTGGGCTTTAAACTCTGACCTCTGAGTAGCAAGGTTAGGAGTACCCCAGAGAGCCACTGTCTTATCAGTCAGCTGCTATAACAAATTACAGACTGGGTGGCTTAAACAATGGACAATTCTCACAGTTCTGGAAGCTGAGAAGTCCACCATCAGGGTGCCAGCAGATTCATGTGTGGCAGGGGCTCACTTCCTGGACATCCCCTCATGGTATCCTCACATGGTAGAGAGAAAAAACTCTGTTTCTTTTCTAAGGACTCTAATGTCATCCTGGAGGACTCCACCTTCATAACTAATTATCTTCCAAAGGCCCCACCTCCTAATACAACCACATTGGAGATAGGACTTCAACAGACGAATTTGGGGGTGGACACAAACATTCAGTCCATAGCAGCTTCCACGTAGGCCATGTCCCTGTGGCCAGCACCCTGTTTGTTTTCAGTCCCAGTGTTGCTTGTCCTTTCTGCTGAAACTAGCTGTGCATTGAAATAGGTGTTTGTGTTATGTTTCCCAACATATATAAGTCCTTTGTAGTAGGAGGACTTTCAAAATTTTTTAGTCCTCTGTGTTACCAGAAATGAAAGTCTAAGGAATAAAAATTGTTGTCTTCTGTAATTCTTAGAAATATGAAAATAGTTCATCATAGAGACTATGAGTCTATCCTCAAAAAATAAAGGTATACTTCATTTTTTGAATAATTAATTTGTTGCACTGAGATCTTTTCTTGTTTTCATTACAGGGAACAGCTCTGAGGTGAAAAAACGTGGTGTATTTTTGAACATTTGGAGCATTTGGAAGGAAACCAGACATGTCCTTGGATGATATTAAGATGAAATCTAGTGACTTCCTGGAGACGGAGCCTCTAGACAGTGGGGGCTTCGGACAGGTGTCTTTGTGTTTACACAGATCCCATGGACTCGTAATACTGAAAAAGGTGTACACAGGGCCGAAGTGCATGGAGTGAGTTGGGAACAGGGTGGTGGACAGATTGCGGGCTGGTGGTAGGAAGCAGTGTTTGTGGAGATGCAGCAGTGGGTAGTGGAAAAGGATGGCACAGGCTTTAGAATGAGGCAGACCATGGAGTAATTGTCAATATACGGGCTTCATGTCAAATAACCCTGAAAGGTGGTTGTTATCCCTAAATGGCCGATAAGGATTCTGAGGCTGGCTAATGAAAAGTTTACAGCTGGTAAATAATGAAAGAGAAGGGAAGGAGACCAAGGGTGACGAGGAAGGCAATGAAAAGGAAATGGGAGGGATCAGTGAGATAGATTTGCTTCACACTTTTGGTAAGCACCAGTCCTAAGTATGGAAAAGAAAACAAAAGTGATTCCCTGATTAGTGGTTCCAGGAACCCTCTTTTTAAAACAAGTGGTAGTGTTGTTTTACTTCTTTCCATTCTTACCAGAGTGGTAATGAGAGAGGTTGCATTTTTTGTTATACTGTCCAGCACAGCCTTTTTTTCAGGCAGGTGTGTCATTGCTGCTGTTTATTTAATGTTCACTTATTTGCCCACCACTTTAACATTTCTTGAACACTCACTGCGAGTCATTGGGAAGGAGAAAACACTCTGCCATCTAAAGCTTGTAGTCAGGGAGTAGTGGGGGTAAAATGGAGACAACTGCACTTGAACAACTATTTTAAAAATATGTTCTAAAAATAAATAAATACATAATAAAAAAAATAAAGCTTGTAGTCAGTTCCTGGCAGAGATCAGCACATGAACAAGTAGTGACAAAAGCACCTGGGATGGAAATGCCCTGAAGACGTGTACTGTGTTTGTCGGGGACACAAAAGGAAGCAGGGCTAACTCAGCACCTTCTCCTCCCATAGGTACAACGAGTCCCTCCTGGAGGAGGGCAAGATGATGCACAGGCTGAGACATGAGCGGGTGGTGAAGCTGCTGGGTATCATCATAGAGGAGGGCAACTACTGCCTCGTGATGGAGTACATGGAAAAAGGCAACCTGATGCACGTGCTGAAAGCTGAGGTATGGGGGCCTTTGCTGCGCCTGGTACAGATGTGGTGACTTGGGTGTTCTTGTCTGTTAGGGTTATTACTCATTTTCTGTGGTTGCTTGTTGGTGTAAAATAATCCTTTTGTGAATTGCTAGATGTTTTGGATTTTCTGGTCAATCCCTCATTAAGTCCTCCTTGATTTTCCCTGCTCAGGAAGTAATCTTGCCCTTCTCTCAGTCCCTGAAGACAGGTGTCCATGTCCCTTTTGTCAGTCACTCTAAGATCCACAATTCAGAGACAGGCCCTGTCTTCATGAAGCACATGGTCTGATGTGGGCTATAGGTATAATGAATAACAATTAAATATTGACTGAGTAAAGAAGTTATCCTATGAAGACTTATATGACAGGAAGGGATATCAATGATTATATGCAGATACCATTTAAGAGACGTGTAGCTTAAATCTACAATATTCGAGCCAACAACAGGAAAATAAAAACTTTGCCAAACCAAGTAACTCAAAACCATTTTTAAAAGTTTTTGTATCTGGACTTCTGCCCAACATGGAGGCTTAGGTAGATACACTTTGCCTCCTTGCACAACCAAAATAAGGACAACAACAATTTAGAAACAAAAAACAACCAGTACTAATAGATAATTGAACTGTATGAAAGTCCTACAACCAAGGAGTTAAAGTAGACACATTCATCCAGACCAGTAGGAGGGGCAGAATTGGGTGGACAGGTGGAGAGGGTTCATGGCAAAGCGGTGGCTGACAGACCCCAAGCACACAAGCCAGCAGCAGGTGGACCCAGTGAGGCTGTGGATTGTGGAAGGGCGTGGCGCACAAGGGGGCTGGTGGACCAGGCAATCCCACATTCATGTGTAGATAAACCAGGCAAAACTGGGGAGTAAGACAGACTACCCAACCCAGGGTCCCAGCACAGGGAAATAAAGCCTCAAAACACCAATTGAGAACACCTGTGCGGGTTGAGGTGCCAGGAGAAACTCCCAGCCTCACAGGAGAGTTCATTGGAAAGACCCACGGGATCCTAGAACATACACAAACCCACCCACACAGGAATCAGCACCAGAAGGGCCCAATTTCCTTGTGAGAATCAGGGGAAGGGACTGAAATCCAGCAGAGCGCAGAGCAAGTGCCATTGTTCCCTCTCCGACCCCTGCCCCACATACAGCCTCACAACCAGAGAATGGGCTGCTCCGCCCCTGAACACCTAAGGCTCCCCCCTCATTACATAACAGGTGTGTCAAGATAAAAAAAAAAAAGGCCCAGATGAAAGAACAGATCAAAGCTACAGAAAAAATACAACTGAGTGATGAAGAGATAGCCAACCTATCAGATGCAAAGTTCAAAACACTGTTAATCAGGATGCTCACAGAATTGGTTGAATTTGGTCACAAATTAGATGAAAAAGTGAAGGCTACACTAAGTGAAATAAAGGAAAACGTACAGGGAACCAATAGTGATGGGAAGGAAATGGACTCAAATCAATGGAGTGGACCAGAAGGAAGAAAGAAACATCCAATCAGAAAAGAATGAAGAAACAAGAATTCAAAAAAATGAGAAGAGGCTTAGGAACCTCCAGGACATCTTTAAACATTCCAGCTTCTGAATTATAGGGGTGCCAGAAGGAGAAGAGGAAAAGCAACAAGTGAAAAGTATTTGAACAGATAATAAAGGAGAACTTCCCCATTCTGGAAAAGGAAATAGACTTCCAGGAAGTCTGTCTAGGAAGCTCAGAGAGTCCCAAACAAGTTGGACCCAAGGAGGAAACACCAGGGCACGTCATAATTACATTACCCAAGATTAAAGATAAGGAGAGAATCTTAAAAGCAGCAAGAGAAAAGCAGAGAGTTACCTTCAAAGGAGTTCCCATAAGACTCTCAGATGATTTCTCAAAAGAGACCTTGCAGGCAAGAAGGGGCTGGAAAGAAGTATTCCAAGTCATGAAAAGCAAGGACCTACATCCAAGATTGCTCTATCCAGCAAAGCTTTCATTTGAATGGAATGGTAGATAAAGTGCTTCCCAGGTAAGGTCAAGTTAAAGGAGTTCATCATCACCAAGCCCTTATATGAAATGTTAAAGGGACTTATTTAAGAAAAAGAAGATAAAAGACATGTACAGTAAAATGCCAGGAAACTCACAATTATTAACCACACCTAAAACAAAAACAAAAGAAAACAAAGCAAACAGCTAGAACAGGAACGGAACCACAGAAATGCAGATCACATGGAAGGTCAGCAACAGGGAAGAGGGAGGAGGAGAGAGGGAGAAAAGGTACGGAGAGTAAGTAGCATAGATGTTAGGTAGAAAATAGACGGGGAGGGTAAGAATAGTATGGGAAATGTAGAAGCCAAGAACTTATAAGTATGACACATGGACATGAACTAAAGGGGGGGAATGTGCGTGGAAGGTGGGTGCAGGGTGGAGGGGAGTGAAGGGGGGAAAATGGGACAACTGTAATAACATAATCAAATATATTTAAAAAAATAAAAAAGAATAAAATTAGAAGGAAAGTTAAACAGAATTAACTATGCAAAGAAGAAGTTTTTCTATCTGTTAAGAGCAAGGCCTTGTGCTAGTTGTTCAGGAAGCAGTAGCAAATACACAGACAAGTAAAGGGGACAGATAGTCAAGGGAATGGGGTGCAATGTTTTGATAGACAACCTCGTCGTGTGCTATGGGAACAGAGGAGAGGCACACACCCTAGCATGTGGCATATAAGAGGATTCCAGAAGAAGGATGCTTGAGCCAAAATCTGAGGGACAAGTAGAGGTTTTGAAGCTGAGAATTAGGAAAGAAAGTGTTCCAGGCAGAGAGAATGGCATATGCAAAAGAACGAGAGTATGCCAACTTTGGGAACCTGCAAATAACTGGGCTTGACAAAGCATAGCTTGCCTGTGGGAGTGGTTGATATGACTGTCTTTATTGCAGATGGCCCTCTTTTCCCCATCTTTCCCCCTGACCTCACAATTGCTGAAACTGTGGCAGTTCTTCTTTTAAATCACAGACAGTTCTCACAAATACCTGTGGGAAAGATAAAAGATAATCACTTGTACACATTGTCATATCATTTGATCAGATTGCTCTTCTCCCCAAAACTAGATCAGGTGCATGAACTAAGTAGGCTTTCTGGGGGTCAGGCAAAGACAAGGTGCACAAATTGGGGCTAAAGAAGAAAGTCAGGAGGATGGAGGGAGGGAGGCACAAAGAGATGAGAAAGGGATCTACCTGGCATTTTCCTAAGTCCAAAGGTATTCCATGAAAGACCCGAAAATCTCTGGCAATTTTTTTGTATAGTAGCAATCAGCATAGATACTGGCATTCAGCTATATTATGAGTTAGATATGGTTTGGGGGGTTGACATGGGAATCTTACAGCCATCATTTACATTTTTTTCCTGTTTACCAATAACCAACATATCCATATGTTTTTAGGAAACTGCCTATTTGTAAACTGGGGGCTGTGTGTACGCACACACACAGAGTGAGAGTTTGTGTTTTTTGATGTTAAGCAAATCTAATGTTTACCTACTCTAACTAGAAACTGGAATTCTCTATGTTAAACATAGATGTTCATATAACTAGAATACAATTGTAAGACTGACCTGGGACTCTATGAAGACCTGAAGTACCTGATAACAAATCACAGAATAGATATTAAATTCATTTCAGAATTAACTGCATTATGTTACCTTGTAGATTAATTTTTACATATTTCTAATCAGTAGGAGCACATTCTCTTATATTCTTTTTTCTTTTAACATTATTTCATACATATATTTCCATGATATTTTTCACATATTTAATACATATTAGAACATTATATTAGTATATCATAGAGAATATCTGGGATTTGGGTGGGGTTTTTTTTGTATATTTATCTATTCATCCACCAATCATTCCAAGCACCATGCTAAGTAGTAAGCATACATCCTAAATAATTATGATGATGATGACTTTTTCTCAAGGAGCTTAATTGTTAGCGTTTTTATATAATGCCATATTGTCATGGAAGTTTTAGTTTTATACTGAAAAAGACCATTAATACCCTTAGCACATAGGATGAACTCTTTCTTCGAAGGGGGGCTTGTTTTACAACTCCAGCAGTGCTGCAGAGTGGGATAGAAGGAACCTGGTAACTGTATCCTCCGGTGCAGACCCCACTACTCTGGAATGAAACCGTTGCTTTGGCCAGTTTGAATACTTTTCCGTTTCATAGACTTAATGTTACTTGTTTTAGATCAGTATCCCCCTTTCTGTAAAAGGAAGGATAATTCTGGAGACCATTGAAGGGATGTGCTATTTACATGGAGAAGGTGTAATACACAAGGACCTAAAGCCTGAAAATATCCTCGTTGACAACGACTTTCACATTAAGGTAAACCCGTAAACTGTAATCTAAAGGCTTGTAGAAGATTGAGGCAATTTTAGTTTTAATTCTTCACTGTAAACCCATTTTTGTACGTGGTGACTCTAAAGGGAGACCTAGCCCAGTTTCTAACTGGTGGTGGTGCCCAAAGGCTCTACCAAGGATTGAAAAGGAATGTACACACACTTGATGGAGTTTGTAGTTTTTATGCATTCATTTACTTTCATCTGTACTTTTTAATGTTTCATTTTGAAAGCAAGGGAACAAGAGAAAGGGATTTTGTTGTTCACTCAAGGAGACCAAGATTTACCTAGGTGGGGTCATCGTAGCTTACTGGCTCTGGCAGCAGGAATCCAAGTGCCAGCATCTGACAGGGGAAGCAGTCCAGGGGTCAGGCCTCTGGGACTGCTTTCACAGGCATCCCTCTCTGCTGGAAGGTTCTGCCTCTAGCATTTAGCTCTAGTCCTGGGCGGATTTTTATTCCTGTCTTAAAAAGAAGCTTCCTTCTTTATATTAATAGCACATCTCTTAGAATCTGTGGATTTAACAATAACCACATACCAAAATTCATCCTCAAATGCTTGGATTCCTGGAGGCAAAAGTGAAACTGTCACCTTTGATTTCTTCTTAACTGTATTCTGTATACAGAATATACTGTACTGTATCTATACTGTATTCTGTATACTGTACTCTGTATTCTGCCATTTTCCCCTGCCACTTATCTCTGTGTTTTGTGTCTGACCTTGATGTTTTTCTCTCTGCTTTTTGTCTGTTTTTCTCCTCCTTCCCTTTCCATCTTCTCTTAGGTTCAGGCTACCAACTCAAAACAAGTAGCACCACAGCCCTTATCCTCAGTGTGGCTTTGGAATCCTTGGAATCTTGCATCCATGGGCTTTTGGGCACCATTTGGGAAATTAGAAGGTGCAGTACCTAGTCACTGTCCTCTATACAAATCAGCTGAGAAGAACTTTTTTCCCCCTACCTCCAGAAATAGTTGAAAAACATAAGCAGAGTCAATGAGGAATTAGAACACACATTCTGTTGTTCATGTCAGAAATGCCTTCTGTTCTGCCTCCTTTCTTCCCCTCCTATCAACCCCTCCAGCAAAATTCCTAGGTTTTTAAAAATTACACAAGAATTGAGATACCAGGATTTCACATGGACATTTCTTAGGGGAGATTTTTCTAGATGGCTGGGGAAATACGAAGTTTCTGTGAATGTTCAGAAGTAGCTGTTTTAACCCTATCTAGTGCAACCATTTCTGGAAAACTCACTGTGCCTCACATCTACTGGATGGGCCCCAAATTTAAAGACAAATCTGATTTGCATGTAGCCTTCACAGAACAATCTCATTGTTCTGTTTAATCGCTTGCAGATAGCTGATCTTGGCGTTGCTTCCTTCAAGACTTGGAGTAAGCTGACTAAAGAGGAACATAATGAGCAGCGAAAAATGAATAGTCTCTCTAAGAAAAACGGCGGCACCCTCTACTACATGGCCCCTGAGCACCTGAATGACATCAATGCCAGGCCTTCGGAGAAGTCAGATGTGTACAGCTTTGCCATAGTCCTTTGGGCAATATTTGCAAATAAGGAGCCATATGAAAGTAAGACATTTATGAAGGAGTGAGATTTGTGTATTCATCAAAATTGTTAAATAAAATAATGGTCTTCAATGAAGTCAGTTAAAATTTAAAATTGTTCATCAAATGTCTGTTTTACCCACTAGACTATAAGCTCCCCAGGGTCTTGGACCACACCTGGTGTATTCACTGCTGTTTCTTAAGTATCTACATACATAGTGCCAGGAACATAGCAGGTGCTCTATAAATTTTTGTAATCTCAGTTTAGGAATTGAGGGTCACAGGACAAATAGGAGCCTGGATGATGTATCTAAGCTTGGGAGGTACTGTAAAATTTTAGGATTCTTCATGGACAAGAAAGTGCTTGCTTATATTTATGAGGACTTACCCTTTCATACTACAAGGCATACATGTCATACTTTCATCTATTCACTTACTCCATTCAAAAATTATTTCAGAACGTATATAGGCACTTTAATCAGAATTGGGAATGTAAAGATGAGACAGACATGGTTCATGCAGGAGAACGGATACATGAGTAGTCATTCTTCAGTTTGTTAAGAGCCTAAACTAATGGACATTTTCCTACCCATTCTTTGGGGGATTATTAGCTCCCACAGTTTAACAACCACCACTTTGCCCAATGCCTCTCAAATCTCTTATCTCTAGCCTTGGCCTAGATATCCATTTGTCTGTTAGATCTATTATATGTACCAGAAGAACCCCAAAGCAACATCCCCCCAAACAAATTTATCTTCTACCTGCTCTCCCTGTAGCCCACTCAGCTTTGCACCTCTTGTTATGTTCAACAATGGCATCGCCATCCATCTTCTGAGTTTCCCATTGAAAAACACTCATCATCACAGACTCAGCCTTGTTCCTCATCTCCCACATCCAGTGAGACATCAAAACCTATAAATTCAAAGTATACATAATTCAAGATACATCTTGAATCATCCACTTCTATCACTACTGGACTTTATTGAGTCAAACCCTTTGTATTTCTGCTGTAGGCTCCTCATATGCACTCACCATTCACACTGCAGCCCAACTGGTCCTCCCAAAGGAAATGTGGCCATCTCGTCTATTTAAAATCCTTTCAAGACTCTCTGTGGCCTTAAGGATAAAGTTTAAATTCCTCAGTATGGAATACAGGGTCCTATCTGATTTGGGTTTTGCTTCTTTCTCTAGCCTTATTCCTTACCTCTCTTTCTTAGTCAATATTCTCACTTATACCAAACATAATTTCTGGGATACATCATGATTTATGGAACCTCCAATATGTTTACACCCTACTTCCTTAGCCCGTAATCCTCCCCACCACGTCCTTTTTCCCCATTCTTTACTTGGATAACTCCTTATTTTTCTGCACTCAACAAAGCCTTCTCTGACCTTCTAGTAAAGGTCCTCATACTTCCTTTTGCTTTTTTAAGATTTTATTTATTTATTTCTTAGAGAGGAAGGGAGGGTGAAAGAGAACGAGAGAAATGTCAATGTGAGAGAGAAAGATCAATGGTTGCCTCTTATATGCTCCCTGACTAGGGACAGAACCCATAACCCAGGCATGTGCCCTGACTGGGAATTGAACTGGCAACCTTTTGCTTTGAGGAACAATGCCCAGCCAACTAGCCACACTGGTCAGGCCTCTTGTTACTTCTTGAATGTTACTCTACATCTTAAGTCACTCTCATTAATATTCCATTTGTTCTGCCAGTAGGCAGTTTTCTTGTGAATTTTCTCTTTCATCTACAGAAGTTAAGACATTGTGTGGCTCCTTGCCACAGTACCATTCTTCCCTGTGCAAACAAGGCTGCTTTACTAAAAGCATATCCTAGGCAGAGAGAGGTTAGTGGCATTGTCCAAGTTCTGTCACCTCCCTGCCTGAGAGGAGCAGGACCTGAAAGAAAGTCTAAACTTAAGTTTCTCTTTGCTTTATAGATGCTATCTCTGAGCAGCAGTTGGTAATGTGCATTAAATCTGGGAACAGGCCAGATGAGGGGGACATCATTGAGCACTGCCCAAAGGAAATCATCAGCCTCATGGAGCAGTGCTGGGAGGCAGATCCAGAATTACGGCCAACATTTGCTGGTAAGGGCATCTTTTATGACTGTACCATTACCGATGTGGCCATTTTTCCTATTATCACGAAGTTGCTTTGAGTCTTCAGAAAATTGAATTTCACTTTTGATTTCAAACTGATTATCTAGATTTCAAACATTTTCTTCAATGAAAAGATTCCATCCCTCCCAAAAGCATGTTTTTTCATAATTAACTTTTTAAAAACTGTGTTGAAACACACATATATGCAAGGTCTGTCCGGAAAAAGTCCAGCCATTGTTAATTTAACAAGTGGTTTGCATGACATTGATATAACTTGGTAGCCAAGGAGCATGGACTGGAATGTGCCTCTGTGAACAATGACGACATCACTGTACTAGTCATTTGGAGTGGTAGACATTCAGTGAGCATGTGTACTGTGTGGCCATCACATTCAAAATGACTGAGTGAGTAAAGCAACACATCTGCATCACATTTTGTGTTAAACTTGAACATTCCTCTGTGGAAACTATTTGGATAATTCAGAAGGCTTCCAGAGACAATGCAATGAGTGTAGTGCAAATAAAAGTGTGGCACAAATGCTTCAAAGATGGTCTAGAATCTGTTGAAAGTGACCACATTCTGGAAAGCCTGCAAAACCAGAACACCTGAGAATGTTGAATGTACACAGGCTGCAGTCAACAACGATCGGCAGCTGACAGTGCAAGAACTAGAAGCTGATGTGGGGATTCCAAAAACTACTGTGTCTGAGATTTTGATGCAGGATCTTGGTGTGAAAGGTGTTGTGGCAAAATTCATTCCACAGCTTCTGCTACCTGAGCAGAAGGAACATCGTGCTGCAGTTGCCAGTGACTTCATTCAAATTGCTACTAATTAACCAGATTTTCTCAATAACCAAAGGTGAATTGTGGGTCTACAGCTGTGGTCCAGAAATGATCCCAGTGGATGTCACCTGGTTCTCCATGCCCAAAGAAGACATGGCAATGTTGCAGCAAGATCAAGACCATGTTAACTGTGTTTTTTGATTGGGAAGTTGTTGTCCATCACAAGTACACCTCTCCAGGCCAGATAATTAATAAGTACTACCTCATTGTTCTTCATTGGTTGATAGATGCAATACAACCAAAACAGCCAGAGCTGTGGGCAACTGGTGATTGGCAGCTTCATCATGACAATGTGCCTGCTCATGCATCATGTCTACTGCAGAGTTTTTTTGTGAAATATCATATCCCCCAGGTGACTTAGCCCCCTACAACCCATATTTGGCACCCTGCAGTTTCTGGCTTTTCCCAAAAGTAAAATCACCTTTGAAAGGCAAGAGATTTCAGACCGTCAGTGAGATTCAAGAAATACGATGGAGCAGCTGATGGTGATTGGGAGAACTGTGTGAGGTCCCTAGATGCCTGCTTTGAAGGGGACTGAGGCATCATTGTCCTGTGTACAGTGTTTTTTGTATCTTCTTCAATGAATGTCTCTATTTTTCATAGTTCATGGTTGGATACTTTCTGGACAGACCTTTGTAAGTTACCATTTTAACCATTTTTAAGTGTACGGTTCAGTGACATTAGTGCATTCATACTGTTGTGCAACCATCACCACCACTCATGTCCAGAACCTTTTCATCTTCCCCACTGAAACTCTGTCCCCATTAAACACCAAATCCCCAGTGTTCTTCTCTCCCAGCCCTTGGCAACTACCATACCACTTTCTGTCTGTATGAATTTGACTACTCTGGGTACTTCATTATAAGAGGAATCATACACTATTTGTCCTTTTGTGACTGGCTTAGTTCACTTGAGCATAATGTCTTCAGGGTTAATCTGTGTTGTAGCACATGTCAGATGTTCTTTTTATTGCTGAGTGGTATTTCACTGTATGGATATGCCACATTTTTTTATCCATTCATCTGTTGAATGATACAACTTGGGTTGCTTGCATTGGCCTTTTTGTTTCTTAGCTTCTTTTATTTCTTTTCCCTCCTTTTGTGTAGCTGGCATCTTTGGATATATATTTTGTCATTTAGATTGGGCCTATAGTAGAGGAAGAAGGTAAGGATATGGGTTTGTCACATGCTTGCACCTCTTCCCATTCCTCTGTGTTACCAAGGATCTTGCTAAGATCCTAAAGGCAGAGGAAAGAAGAAAATCAGATGAAGAAAAAATAAATAGTGGGAAAGCACTTAGGAGCCTGTAAAGCATTTTGTCCTTATATTTCAGCTATGAGAAAACAGAAATGAAGCCCCACCTACCACTTACTACCAAAGGATTAGAAGAGTACTTTGATTTAGTTGCCTATTTGCTTATTTGTTCAGTCAGCCTGAATATTCCTCTGGCTTGATTTCCTTTTTCTAACTTCTTTTTCACTTTTCTTAAAAATTATATTTATTTTTAGAGAGAAGGGGAGAGGGGATGGGAAGGAGAAAGAGAGGAAGAGAAACACAATGTGTAAGAGAAACATGGACTGGTTGCCTCTTACACACCCCCAACTGAGGACCTGGCCCACAACCCAGGCACGTGCCCTGACTGGGAATCAAACCTGTGACTTTTCAGTTCACAGGCCAGCACTCACTCCACTGAACCACACCAGCCAGGGCTCTTTTTCACTTTGTTTTTCATTGAAGTTCTTACTCTGAGATAATTTTAGATTTATATGCAGATGTATTATAAAGGATACAACTCAGGAACAGCCAAGTGGAAGAGAAGCATAAAGCAAAATATTTGCGGGGGTAGGAGGTACTTAAGAGCTCCCATGCCTTTTCTGGAGGTACCACTCTTCCAGAACCTCAGTGTAGTCTCTGACCCAAAAGCTCTCTAAACTCTTGTTTAGAGATTTTCATGGAGGCCTCAGTAGACTAGGCACAGTTGACTAAATCATTGGTGACTGAACTATCTTCAGTCCTTCTTCCCTTCATGGAGGTCAGGAGGTGGTGCTGAAAGTTCCAACTCTAATTATGATGAGGTGTTTCTGGTGACAGTTCCCATTCTGAAGCTGTCTAGTTTCCCCTCACCCCTACCTCTCCAGCCAGGAGCCATCTCACTAGCATATACAGACATTCTTATCATTTAGGGGATTCCAGGGATTTGGCAAACTCCCTGCCCAGAGCCAACAAAAGCTGATGAAAAGACCAAATGTGTGTTATTTTTTCATATTGTACATTTTATTTCTTCCTCCTTTCCAAGGTATCTTCTTTTATCATTTTTCTTTTTGTTTAGAGAACTTCCTTTAGCTATTCTTTTGTGGTATGTCTTCTGGAGACAAATTCTCTTAGTTTTTCTTCATTTGAGAATATCTTGATCTCCCTTTTATTCCTGAAGGATATTTTTGCTGGTGTAGAATTCTGGGTTGATGGTTATTTTTTCAGCACTTAAAAAATATTGTGCTACTTCCTCTGGCCTCCATGGTTCCAGTTGAGAAATCTTCTGTCATACTTTTTTTTCTTTGAAATTTTAATTTTTTATTGTATTTTTTCCATTACCATTTAACCTCTTTATACCAACCCCCCACCCCGTAATCACCACACTGTTGTTCATGTCCATGAGTCCTTTTTCCTTTTTTTGCTCCATCCCTCCAACCCCTTGGCCCTCCTGCCCCCATAGCTGTCATCCTGCTCTCCATCTGTGAGTTTGTCTCTATTTTGCTTGTTAGTTCAGTTTGTTCATTATATTCTACATATAAGTGAAAGCATATGGTATTTGTCTTTCTCTGGCTGGCTTATTTCACTTAGCATAATGTTCTCCAGGTCCATCCATGCTGTTGCAAAGGGTAGAATTGTTCTCCTTTTTTTTTATGGCTGAGTGGTATTCCATTGTGTAAATGTTCCATAGTTGTTTTATCCACTCATTTACTGATTCCTCTGTCATTCCAATTGTTTTTTTCCTTATAGGTAGTAGTTTTCTCTGACCACTTTCAAGGTTTTTATGTTCTCTTTATTTTTCAGAGGTTTAATTGTTATTTGTATTGTTATGGATTTTGGGGGGTTTATTCATTTGAGTTTTGATCAACTTTTCTAATCTATAGGCTTATGTATGTTGCCAAATTAGAGTACTTTTTTCAGCCCTATTCCTTTCCTTCCAAGATTCTGATGACAGAAATACTAGTACTTTTCTTATAGTCCCACATGTCCCTGACTCCTGTACATTTTTTTCCCTGAGTTTATTTCTCTCTCTTGATCAGATTGGGTCATTTTTATAGTTTGTCTTCTAATTCACTGACTTTGCTCCGTATCCTTCATTCTGCTGTCGAGCTCATCCACTGAGCTTTTAATTTTGGTTTACTGAATTTTTCAGTTAAAAAGTTTTATTGAAATTTCTTTTATATGTTCTATTTATTTATTGATGCTTTCTATTTTTCATTTCAAGCTTATTTATAACTGATATTGAAGCATTTTTATTGTGGCTGTTGAAAAGCCCTAGACAGGTAATTCTAATATCTCTGCCATCACAGTGTTGGCATTTATTGTCTTTTTTTTTATTCAGTTTGAGATCTTTATGGTTCTTAGTATGATTAGTGATTTTTCTATTGAAACTTACACTTTTTCTTACTATGTTATGAGATTCTGGATCTTCTTTAAGTTTTCCGTTTTAGCTGGCTTTATCCGACATGATTTTGGCAGTGGGATGGTTTTGCCACCTTGTTGGTTCCAGGTTGAGGGGAGTGCAGGTTCTCCACTTAGCCCTGTTAACATCTGAGGTGGAGAAGCCTCCTTGTTACTACTGGTCAGGTGTGGAAGTTCCTGCAGAGTTCACGTGGTCTCCATGGACACTGCAATGGAGTGAAAGTCCTGACTCCCCACTATGCCTCTTCTGACACTTACCCATTAAGATAGAGAAGGGGCTTTTTGTTACCGCAAGGTGAGGGTCAAATCCAGTCTGCCATTGTAGTTCACTGACACCACAGAAGCGGAGGGGCTCATTACCATCTGGCAGAAGGGAAAGTCCTGGTTTCCTATTTGGATCTCTCTGACATCACCCTCGTTGGTGCATTGGGGCACCTTATTACTGTCTTGTGAGGTTGGAAGTCTCAGCTCACAATCAGCCTTTGTTGGTAGGGGTGGCGATGGAGCAACAGTTTTTTTCTGTCCTTTGGTTGGAGTGTGGTTATTGACTAAAGGTTTTATATCTTGCTAGGATGCCCCTTGTTTAGTCCTCTGGATAGAAAAAGTAGCTTTGCTGGATTTTTTTGGTATTGGGTTGCCAGCTTCTTCAGGACTAAGTCTAGAATCTACGTGGCAAAAAAGAAATCCCAGTGAACTCATTGTCATGTCTTTTCTCAGATCCCAAAGTCCCTAGCTGATCTGCCTTTGTCTCTTCTCCTTTCAGAGTCTCCTTATATTTGTTTTATGTATAATATGTAGGGCTTTGTGTTGTACTTAGAGGGAGAAATAAGGAAAAGTATGTCTACTATATCTTCCAGAAAGTGATCATTGCTTTTTTCTTTTAAAGCCAACAGCTCTAACACTTTATACCAAAGTTTTGAGTGAATTTTATTCTGAGTATTTTATCCTCTGGTAAATCTATCAGAGGGACAGAAACAAAGAGTCCACCCATCCTTGTTCACTTGGAAATGAACTCACAATAGCTAGGGCTTTATGCTTCACAGCCAGAGACACTGCATGCCAGTTCACAGGAGTGCTTTGTTGTACTATCCCTTGTTCTGTCACCAAGTTATTAATCTTGTTAGTCTTTTTCTGAAAGCCAGTGATTTGGCATTTAAAGTTTTGTTTTACTGCTTTCCCACAGATTAAAGTAAATGCAAAGATAATAGATCACTAATATTTTAATTTTATTTCAGAAAATATTTAAGAAATTTAAAGTACTGTTTTTCTTAATATAGGCATTGAAGAAAAATTTAGACCTTTTTATTTACGTCAGTTAAAAGAAGATATAGAGGAGGATGTGAAGAGTTTAAAGGTAGGTAACATAGCAAATGCTAAAAATGTTAATATATCAAAGCATATATTTTAAACCATGAAAATCAAAGCAATGTAATTTGTGACTGAGATTTGAGGTAAGCTAGCTTGGTAACCACATAAAACAAAATGAGCAGTTTTATGCAGATATCAACTTGGCATTCTGGACCCATTCCTCCTTCAAAACTAATGAAATGAGAGAAAATATACATAGTAATATGAAAACAAAAGCACAACTTCTCTGTAATAAAACAGGAAATATCCTGGGTGGATTAGTCATTTTGAGGAATTCTTGAAAGATAGAAAGCCAACAAAAGTATATTTGCTGAAACATGTAACAGAAAAAGAAAAGCTAACCCAGAACATAATGCTGAAGGAGAGCTAGAGGAGCAAGTTTTGAGTGAATATAGAGAGGCAACATCATGGTCACCTGGGACATTGACAGGGAGTTATTTGAGATCCACAGTTATACCAGTCATAAAAGTTGGCTTCTCCCCCTAATTCCATTATGCTAAGCCACAAATGGGAGCAGCATCTGCTTTTGAGCTGAAGCAGTAAGTTTGAGGTCTGGAGTCAGAGAAGTATGTCAAATATTGTTACCAATTAACCAGCAAAGAGGAACAGAAACTTGCCCAACATACACATTCAGGAAAAAAGCTGCTGTCATAAGTCTTACAGCAACATAATGCTAGAATCGTGAAAAGGAGACTACAGTAAACAAAACAAGTAGACAAACAGCAATTTTAAAATACAAAAAAAGAAAAAACTTGGACAGTCAGAAAAAAAAGGATTGTCAGCCTCTTACACTTAAACAGAGATATCTAATGCAAGCCAAGAGCAATCAAATGGACAGCACGAGCGATAGTCACTAAGGCAGTAAAGTATTACTACTTAGTAATATTTCATGATAATAAAAGGTTTGATTCATCAGAATGATAATAGCTTTAGATATCTATATGGTCATAAAATCAAAATATAGAAAGCAAAAATTGGCAGAACTCAAAGAGTAAATAGACAAATCCACAATCACAGTTGGAGATATTAATACACATTTCCCTCTAATTGGTAGAAGAAACAGAAAAAAATTGTCAGTGAGGATATAGAAAATTTGAACAACATAATTAACACATTTGACCTAATGGGAATATATAAAATATTGCATCTAATTACTCCAGAATACACCTTTGAAGGCTTTTCAAGAACGTATGGAACATTTTCAAAAGTTGACCATGTACTGGAAAATAAAAGGAGTCTCAACCAATTTGAAGGACTGTAATCATGTAAAGAATGATTGCATTCTCTGACTACATTTCAGTTATGCTAGAAATTAATCTTAAAAGATAATTAGAAAATCCCATTGGTTAGAAGTTAAGAAATATACTTTTAATTACCAATTGGGTTAAAAAATAATGAAATTTAGAAAATATTTGGAGCTAATAAAGCACTACTTATTAAAGCTTACAGAATTTGCAAAGGAGTACTTACTAGTAAAAATAGTCTATATATATATTTATGAAGGGCTGAGAATGAATTAGATAAGCATTCATCTGGAGAAGATAGCAAAATAAACCTAGAGCAAATAGAAAGCAGTAAATAATAAGAGAAGAGCATAAATTAGTGATATAGAAAACAGCTAATAGAGGATCCAAAAAGTTAAATGTTGGTTCTTTAAAAAAACTAATAAAATCAACTAATTATGACTCATCAAGGAAAACAGAAAACATTAATTAGCACAAAACAGTTGTGCTAATTAATTTTAAAACAAATAAAATGGGTAAATTTTAAGGAAAAAATAGAACTTAGCAAAACTGACTTAGATAGAATTAGAAAACCTGAATATTCCTGTAGCCATTTAAAAAGATTGAATCAGTGATGAAAGTTCTTGCCATGAAGAAAATTCCATATCCAGATCATTTTACCAGTGATTTCTTTTTTTTTTTTTTTAGGATTTTATTTATTTATTTTTAGAGAGGGAATGGAGGGTGAGAGAGAGAGAAACATCAATGTGCGGTTGCTGGGGGTCATGGCCTGCAACCCAGGCATGTACCCTGACTGGGAATCGAACCTGCGACACTTTGGTTCGCAGCCCGCACTCAATCCACTGAGCTACGCCAGCCAGGGCTTTTACCAGTGATTTCTATCAAGTATTCAATGAATAAATCATTCCAATCTTACAAAATTTGTCCAGATAACAGAAAAGAGGGCACACTCCCAGACTCATTTTATGAGACTAGTTATATCCTTGATCCCCAAACTTGAAAAAGAAGATAAAAGAAAGGAAAATTATAGACCAATCTCACTTAACACAAATGTGAAAATCTTGAATGAAATATGACAAAATGAATCCATCAATGGACAGTGAAGTTTGGAAAAGATACTTGGCCTCACTAACAGCGAAAAGCAAAATGAATTTATTATAATTTTTTTATCTATTAGATTAACATTTTTGAAAGATTGGGAATATCAAGTGTTGGTGAAAATGCAGACTAGTAGGCAGTCCCTGTGCAGTATTGGGTAAGAGTATGAATTGGTGAAGTTTATTGAAAAATGAAGCATCTGTCAAACTTTTAAAAAAGATTTTATTTATTTACTTTTAGATAGAGGGGAAGGGAGGGAGCAAGAGAGGGAGAGAACATGAATGTGTGAGAGAAACATCCATTGGTTGTCTCTTGCATGCTCCCACTTGGGGACCTGGCCTGGAGCCCTGGCATGTGCCCTGACTGGGAAGGGAACCAGCAGCCTCTTGGTTTACAGGCCGGCACTCAATCCACTAAGCCACACTAGCCAGGGCAACCTATCAAACTTTTAAAAGCATATAACTTTTGCAGCAATTCTGCTCTTAGTAGTCTATCCTGTTCACATGTATTCTCAAAGATTTATCTCTAGGAGTTTTTTATACCTTAGTTTTGTTTTATTTGTAAGATTTTATTTATTTATTTATTTATTTATAGAGAGACGGGAAGGAAAGAATAAAGAGAGGGAGAGAAACATCCATGTGTGAGAGAAGTATCAGTCAGTTGTTTCTCACATTCCCCCAAATGGGGACCCAGCCTACAACCCAGGAATGTGCCCTGACAGGGAATCTAACTGGAAACCTTTCAGTTCACAGGACAGCACTCAATCCATTGAGCAACACCAGCCAGGGAGCACCTTAGTTTTTGAGACTGAAAAATTGGAAACAACCCACATGGATCATAAGTAGATATACTAAATTTCGAGTCATTGAAACTACAGAATATATAGCCATTTAAAAGAGGCAGAAACTAATATATAATGACACAGAAAGATCTTCATGATTTGTTATTAGTAAAAAAAAATAAGTCAAAACAATACTTAAGAGTTTGATCCTTTTCTTCTATATTTAGATCCTATATCTTCTATATATTTTATGTATACACAAACATGTGTATATATGTACGTGTGTGTGTGTGTGTATGGTCTGTCCAGAAGGTATCCAGCTATATAATATGAAAAATGGAGATATTTACTGAAGGATATTTATACAAAAATGAAGATATTTATACAAGAAACATTGTACTTAGGACAATGACACCTCAGTCCCCTTCAAAGCAGGTGCCTTGAGACCTTACACAGTTCTCCCAGTCGTCATCAACTGCCCTGTCATATTTTCCTGAATCTCACTGACAGTCAAATATCTTTCTTTTCAAAGGTGTTTTTAGTTTGGGGAAAGCCAGAAGTCACAGCGTGATAAATTGGGGCTGTAGGGGGGCTGAGTCACCTTCAGCAATTTGATATTTCACAAAAAACCTCTGCACAAGACATGGTACATGAGTGGGCTCATTGTCATGATGGAGCTGCCAATCACCAGCTGCATATAGCTTCAGCCTTCTGAATCATCTGAATAGTTTCTGGAGCAATGTTCAAGCTTAATGCAAAATTTGATGTAGATTTGTTGCTCTTTTTGCTCAGTAATTTTGAATGTGATGGCCACACAGTACACATACTCATTCAATGGTGTCTACTGCCCCCACTGACTAGTACAGTGAAGTCATCATTGTTCACACATGTGCGTTCCAGTCTACTGTCCTTGGCTGTCAGGTTACATCAATGTCACACAAACCATTCTCATTATATTAACAATGGCTGGACTTTTAGTGGACAGACCATATGTGTGTGTGTGTATAAATTTCCAGAATGTATATGCAAATACCTAGAGAGAATAAAAGGATAAACCACATATGCTGTGTGAGGGCAGGGATCCTCAACTCTGGGCCATGGACCAGTACCAATTGGGGGCTGTTAGGAACTGGGCCGCACAGCAGGAGGTGAGCTTGAATGTAATGCACTTGAATTGTCCCAAAACTGTCTCCTTCACCCCAGTCCATGGAAGAGTTGTCTCCCATGAAACTGGTTCCTAGTGCCAAAAAGGTTGGGGACTACTGTTCCAGGGAATGGAAGAAAGTGGTGGTTGGAATAAACAACTAAAGTGCTGCTGTATGTGATTCTGCACAATTTGATTCTTTTTAAATGGAACCTGTACTTATGTATTTTGTATAATAAAACATAACTATAAAAATAAACAATTGCTTTTATAAATTAAAATAACAGACTGTTCAACTTCCGGCGAAGATGGAGGCATAGGTAGATATATTTTTCTTCCTCGCACAACCAAAAGAAGAATCACCACCAAAGTAAAAACAAAATACAAATGGAAGTGCCAGAAAATCTAACTGTATGGAAGTCCGACAACCAAGGAGTTAAAGAAGAAACATCCAGACTGAAAGGAGGGGTGGAGATGGGCAGCTGGGGCAGAGAGGATGCACAGCAAGGTGGTAGCTGGCAGACTGGGAGGATGAGGCGGTGGCAGGTGTACTTGGTGATCCCACATTTGTATGTGGATAAACTGGGAGGAACAACTGGGGAAAAAGACAGACTGTGCAACCCAGGGTTTCAGAATGAGAAAATGAAGCCTCAAAACCTCTGGCTGTAAAATCTGTAGGGGTTGTGGCAATGGGAAAAACTCCCAGTCTCACAGGACAGTCTGTCGAGGGACCCATGGGGTCCTGGGACATACACAAAACCACCCACCTGGGAATCAGCACCAGAAGGGCCCAATTCACTTGTGGGTAGTAGAGGAAAGCAGGCTGAGAGCCAAGCAAGCAGCATTGTTCCCATTCTGACCCCTTCTTCACATACAGTGTCACAATGCAGGGAAATAAGTTGCCTCACCCTGGTGCACACCTAAGGCTCTGCCCCTTACAACAACAGGTGTGCTAGACAAAGAAATATAGACTAAATAAAAGAATAGATCAAAACTCCAGAAAAAGAAGTAAGCAAAGAGGAGATAGCCAACCAATCAGAAGCAGAGTTCAAGACACTGGTAATCAGGATGCTCACAAACTGATTGTAGGTGCAAAATAAAAGAAGTGAAGGCTATACAAAATGACGTAAAGTGGAATATGCAGGGAGCCAACAGTGAAGGGAAGGAAACGAGGACTCAAATCAACAATTTGGAACAGAAAGAATAAACATTCAACCTGAACAGAATGAAGAAAGAAGAAATAAAAAAAAATGAGAGACTTAGTCACCTCTGGGACGACTTTAAATGTTCCAACATCTGAATCATAGGGGTGCCAGAAGGAGAAGAGAAAGAGTAAGAAATTGAAAACTTATTTGAAAAAATAATGAAGGAGAACTTCCCAATTTTGGTGAAGGAACTAGACATGCAAGTCCAGGAAGCTCAGAGAGTTCCAAAAAATGTGGACCCAAGGAAGCACACACCAAAGCACATCATAGTTACATTACCCAAGATTAAAGATAGGGAGAGAATCTTAAAAGCAGCAAGAGAGAAGCAGAGAGCTACCTACAAAGGAGTTCCCATGAGACTCTCAGCTGATTTCTCCAAAGAAACCTTGCAGCCAAGAAGGGCTGGAAAGAAGTATTCCAAGTCATGAAAGGCAAGGACCTCTATCCAAGATTACTCTATCCAGCAAAGCTGTCATTTAGAATGAAAGGTCAGATAAAGTGCTTCCCATATAAGGTCAAGTTCAAGGAGTTCATCATCACCAAGCCCTTACTATATGAAATGTTAAAGGGACTTATCTGAGAAAAAGAAAATAAAAAACTATGAACAGTAAAATGACAACAAACTCGCAACTATCAACAACTGAACCTGAAAAACCAAAATAGCCCTGGCTGGTGTGGTTCAGTGGGTTGAGTGCTGGCCTGTGAATCAAAAGGTCACTGGGTTCAATACCCCATCAGGGCACATGCCTAAGTTGTGGGCCAGGTCCCCAGTTGGGGATGTGCAAGAGGCAACCGATTAATGTATCTCTCATACATTGATGTTTTTCTCCTCTTTCTCCTTCCCTTCCCCTCCCTCTAAAAATAATAAATAAAATCTTTTTAAAAACCCAAAAACAAACCAAGCAAACAACTAGAACAGGAACAGAATCACAGAAATGGAGATCACATGGATGGTATCAGAGGAGAGGGGGAATGGGGAGTATGGGGGAAAAGGTACAGGGAATAAGAAGCATAAATAGTAGGTACAAAATAGACAGGGGGAGGTTAACAATGGTATAGGAAATGGAGAAGCCAGAGAACTTATGTGTACGACCCATGGACATGAACTAAGAAGGAGGGTGCTGGAGGTAGGGGAGGTAAAGGGTAGAGCGGGATATATGTGAGAAAAATATGGGACAACTGTAATAGCATAATCAATAAAATATACTTTAAAAAATAATAAAAATGCTTATCATGTTAAATAAAAAGCAACATACAAAATGTTCTAAACTATGCACATAATTAATATTCTCATTCTTCTCTAAATTACTCATAATGTTCATTCAGTGAATGTTTTTGACCACACACCTATGTAACTTGCAGTGTGTTAGAAGCAAAATGTAAATATGACTAGGAAAATGTCCTGAAGAAATACCAAAATGTTAATTTTTTAAGTGAAGGCATAATATGTAAGTTTCTTTTCATTCCCTACATTTTCTATAATGAATATTATGGCTTTTATAGAAAATTTCCTTTTTTATTGTGGTGAGATACATACCATAAAATTTGCCATCTTAACCATTTTTAAGTATCCAGTTCACTGGCATTCAGTACATTCAGTGTTATGCAGCCATCATCAATATCCATTTCCTTTTTTTTAATCCCAAACAGAAACTTTAACTCCACATTCATTTCTCTCCCCATCCCATGGTAACCTCTGTTCTACCTTCTGTCTCTGAATTTTCCTATTCTAAGTACCTTGTAGACATGAAATCACACAATATTTGTCTTTTGGTGTCTAGCACATTCACTTAGCACAGCGATTTTCAACCTGTGTGCCACAGCACACTGGTGTGCCACAAGAATTTTTAAAACATGCAGTACCTGACTGTCAGGGGCACTTACTTCTTTTCCCTTAGATTGTCAAATAAAAAAATGACAAGAGCCAATACAATAGCTGTCCAGTGTGAATGAATCATAATTATACCTATTTTTTATCAGATCAGCAAAAAATATATTTTAGTGTGCTGTAAAATTTTAGTAATTAGTTTATGTGTGCCATGAGATGAAAAAAGTTGAAAATCACTGACTTAGCATAATGTCTTCAAGATGCATCCATCCTGTAGCTTCTACAAGAACCTCATTCCTCTTTAAAGCTTAATTATATTCCATCATATGTACATATTACTTTTTTTCATTCATCTGTTGATGGACACTTGGGTTGTTTCCACCTTTTATCTGTAATGAATAATGCTGCTATGCATGTTGGTATATGAGTATTTTTTTTGAGCCCCTGCTTTCAGTTCTTTCACATATATGCCTAGGAGTAGAACTGCTGGACTGTATGATAATTCTGTTTAACTTTTTGAGGAACCAAGAAACTGTTTTCCATAAGGCAGCACCATTTTACATTGCCACCAGCAATGCACAAGCATTTCAATTTCTCTTTCTCACCAATACTTTTTATTTTTCTGAGTTTTGGTTTTGTTTTTTGTTTTTTACATAATCGACATTCTAATCGGTATGAAGTAGTATATATCTCATGGTGGATTTGATTTGCATTTCCTTAATGACAATGAAGTTCAGCATCTTTTCATGTACTTATTGGCTATTTGTATATCTTTTTTTGAGAAATGTCTGTTTAAGTCCTTTCCCCACTTTTGCATTGGGTTGCTTTGTTGTTGTTGTCATTAAATTATAAGAATTTTTTATATATCTAGATAGTCATCTCTTATCATATATATATGATTTGCAATTTTTTCCTATTCAGTGAATTGTTTTTTACTCTCATAATAGTGTTCTTTGATACACAGAAGTCTTTAATTTTGATGTAGACAAATCCATCTTTTTATTTTGTTGCTTATGCTTTTATTGCCATATCCAAGAAGTCATTGTCAAATCCAATGTCCTGAAGCTTTTCCCATGTTTTTCTCTAATAGTTTTATAGTTTTAGCTCCTAAATTTAGGTTTTTGATCCATTTTGAATTATTTTATATATATGTTTAAAGGTAAGGATCTAACTTCATTCTTTCACATGTGGATATTCAGTGTTTCCCCCATTGAGTGGTCTTGGCACCCTTGTCCAAAATTAATTGACCATGTATGTAAGGGTTTATTTCTGGGTTCTTCAATATATTCTGTTGGACTATATGTCTGTCCTTAGGCTATACCACTCTGTTTTGATTACTGTAGCTTTGTAGTGAGTTTTAAAAATCACAAAGTGTGAGCCCTCCAACCTTGTTCTTTTTAAAGATTGTTTTGGCTATTTGGGAAATGCATTTTTTTTTAAATATTTACTGTTCGTAAGAGCTACCTTATGTGAAATTTCTACTTTCTGAAAAGACTTATTTTTCTTATAATAATCTTCTGGAACTGACTATTTTCTGCTATTTACTGAAGTATGTAGTTTGCTCTTTATTATAGAAAGAGTATCCTGGCCAAAATGAAATTGTGAAGAGAATGCAGTCTCTCCAAATGGATTGTGTAGCAATACCTCCAAGCAGGTCAAATTCAGGTAACTTACACTATGATCAGAAATCTGTTTATTCACTTATTTGTGTACTCATTCACACACTTTTCTCTCTTAAATACTATTCACAACCATATGAGAAGAAGCAGCAACTAAAAAATTCAACGCCTACCTTAAAAGAATATATAATATATTCAGGAGTCAAGATACATATATTTAAAATGTTAAGCACCATTGAGTTCACCAGAATGATAAAGCACCCTGAATAAAAGAGTCCTAATATATCCGATAGGGAGAAAGTGATGGTTCAGGATAAAGAAGGGGGCATATGTAGGAGCAAGTGCTTGAGAACGTCAAGGATGACGAGATCCAGAGTATCAGCAGAGAGGCTGGTCTCAGATTCAAGCAGGGATACTTTTTTCCTTACAACGAAAGGGTAGGCAGAGTACAGGGTTTTGTAGCCACCTATTAGCTATTTCTTATGGAGCAAATTACTTAACCTCTTAAACCTTATCCATTAGATCATGATAATTGCTCTTACCCTTATTCTTTAAAAAATGAAAGAATGAAAAAATCCATGGAAAGTGATTAGCATAGAGCTGCTGCTATTATTTTCCAACCCTGCACCAACCTGTACCTCCTCTGCTGCAACACAAGTCCCTTTCTTCCTTTGTCATTCCTGCAACACCCATTTTTCTGTTGCTTGTTATAATTTCCCTAATGCTCTCTCATTGCTAGGCATGGGCTCCTACTTATTACATATAAAAGAGGGCCCATGTAATACATGCTTTTTACTTGTTCTCAATGTTTACAGTATGTGACTGTGAGGTACAGATTCATTATGGGGCTCAGGTTTCATTTTACTTTTTAATGTTTCATGAAACTCCAATGGCGATCATTTCTTCTCAGCCACAGAACAGCCCGGTTCACTGCATAGTTCACAGGGACTTGGGATGGGTCCTGTGGAAGAGTCCTGGTTTGCTCCCTCTCCGGAGCACCAGCAGGAGGAGAATGACAGGCTGCAGAGTAAACTCCAGGAGGAAGCCAACTACCATCTTTTTGGCAGCCGCATGGACAAGCAAACAAAACATCAACCCAGACAAAATGCAGCTTACAACAGAGAAGAGGAAAGGAGACGAAGGGTCTCCCATGACCCTTTTGCACAGCCACAACCTTATCAGAACCCAGGGGCAAAAGACCTTGCTTCTTCAAATACAACCAGTCATGGTAATGAAGTACACCAACCAGTTGGACTGACCAGCCAAACTCAAGGACTACACTGGAACAATGGATCATATAATCCACATGGTTTTAGAACAAGATCACTAGATCTGGGAACAGTAGGTTCCAGAGTTTGTTATGGGCCAAATCTAAGCCACATGCCAAGCCTGCATAAAACTCCAGTGCCTGAGACCAACCTACTGGGAAACACACCCACCATTCCATTTGTCTCCCTGTCTTCAACAGGTAAACAGGCCTTTCAGTCTAATCTTATCTTTTTAAAAATTTTTTCTGAAAATAAAACAGCTGTTAGCTCTGTTGTAGACTACAAAGGGCCAGTTCAGAGTCTTCTGCTGCCAGATACAACTTGCCATTGTGGAATAGTCTCCATATGATCACGTGGCCTGGGCATATTTCAGTTTGGGTGGGATTCAGTGCAGCTGTCTATAAGTGCTGGTTTATAGGTTTTGTAACTGGTAGGCATCTCCTACTCTAGCTTGAATCATAATAGTCCCATTATACCCAATCTCTGATGCAAGTGAAGGTATCTGCTTTTTTCTTTTATTTGGTTGCTATTTTCTGAAGGTAAGAAATAAGTCTTAGATATTTTTATTTCTTATCTCATATAGGCCAAAGACTGCCATTTGTGATGAAAACCGCATTGTTGGGCTGCCTTCACCATCAGCCATTTTCAGAACTCTTTTCACCTTCCCAGGCTGAAACTCTGTACTCGTCAGACAGTAAATCCCCATTCTCCTTTCTCCTCCCAGCCCCTGGCAACCAACCTTCTACCTTTTATGTCTATGAATTTAATTACTGTAGGTACTGCCTATAAGTGAAATCATACATTATTTATCTTTACTTTACATAACATAATGGTCTAAAGGTTCATGTAGCATGTGTCAGAATTTCCTTTTTAAGGCTGAATAATATTTCATTGTATGTATACACCACATTTTGTGTATCCATTCATCTATTGATGAACACTTGAGTCGCTTCTACTTTTTGGCTATTGTGAATAATGCTGCATGGGGGTATAAATACCTATTTGCAACCCTGCTTTCAATTTTGGGGGGTATATACTTAGAAGTGGAATTGCTGGATCATATAGTAAGTCTATTTTTAATTTTTGGAGGAACCACTATACTGTTCACCACAGTGGCTGCACCATTTTGTATTTCCACCATTAGCACATAGGGTTCCAATTTTTATCAGTACTTATTATTTTCTATTTTTATGATGGTAGCTACCCTAATTTTTAATAAGAAAAACAATTTTTTAAAAAATTTTACAGGATGGCATAGAATAAGTAATTTAACTTAAACATTTAGAGTAAAGCCCTGCCTTTTTACTGTGTTGTATTTTTCATCTTACTTTTTTAAAATTTTTACTTATTAATTTTAGAGAGAGGAAGGAAGAGAGGAGAGGGTAAGATAGAAACATTGATTTGTTGTTAAACTTACTTAGGCATTTATTGGTTTATTCTTGTATGTGCCCTGACCAGGGATTAAACCCACAACTTTGGCAGGACAACACTCTAACCAACTGAACTACCCAGTCAGGGCTTATCTTACTTTCCATTTAGATGTACTTAGCTGTGTGCTTCTCTCTATTCAGGTGAGTCTCTAAAATGTTCCATATATAACAGTACTGGCATTCAGATTGGAGACAAGAATTACATGGAAGTTGGTGGAGTGAGTTCACCATTACTGGACAACATGTACATGAACTTGAAAGAGCCCGCTTCTAAGTACCAAGATATCTTTGGTAAGATGCCTTTTAAGGGCCCATTGTCTAGCAACCTTGAACTTTCTTACTCGGTGAGAGGGATATAATGGAATCCTAAAATTTCTCCCTGAAAGTTGTCCCATGTTTCCTATGTGAAATATCTGTGTAATTCCCATATAATTTCTTTGTAATTTATTTATGTTTAATATGGAGAAATTTACAATATCTAATTCATGGATTGTTGTGAGAATTAAATGAGTCAATATGTATAAAGAACTTAGAATATTGCCTGGTACATAGTAAGATCTAGAAAAGTGTTAAATTATTATAGTCATCATCATTAATGCTACTACTCAGACGTAGGAGAGATAGCTCCTTCAGGTCCTTATCAAAAGGGATTTTGTAAACTATTAGGTGACTGTCCTCAGTGGCACATCCATAACAAAAACAAAGACTTTCCCACTAGGCAGGCTCATAACATTAATCCCAAAACACAACCTGGCAAAAGCTATCATGAGGCCAAAACAATGTAATGAAAGAACCTCACCCTCTGGTTAACACTAGGACTGGCAAATTTTTCTACTAAGTTCTAGATAGTAAATATCTTAGGCTTCAGTGGCCTTGAGGTCTCTGTTGCACTACTCAGCTCAGGTTGCCGTGAGTCGAGCCACAGACAATATGTACATGGATGGCTGTGCTCCAGTAACACTTTGTTTACCAAAACAGGCAGCGGGCCGGCTCTGATCCGTGTGGTGTAGTTTGCCAATCCCTGATCTAGTCCATTTGAAGGGTAGACTTTAAAATTCCTGGAGCAGAAGTTCCTAAATTGCGGGGAGGCAAGGGTATTTTTGATAATCTGATGAAACTCAGGTTTTCCTCTCCTGAAGAGGTACTGACAAAATTTGAGAAATATCTTAGGAGGTTCTTGGACCACTGACATACAATGGTGATAATAAAAGCTGCACTGTGGGGATCTGAGGAAAGAATGGGAGTTAAGAGGCAAAAACGATTCAGCTTACTGAGATAGGATGGGGATCAAGGAGTGTGGTTTGTTTGTGGTGGTCATTTTATACTTTTGTTTCCTTTTGTTACTTTTGTGAAGGCCTAAGGGGAAGGAACCAGTAGAAAGAGAGAGGTTATGGCTATAGGAGAGGAGAGATAGCAGTTGGGGCAGGGGAGGGATGAGTCCAGAAATAGATATTGAACAGTATAGATGCCTAATCCCTTAAAAGAAAGGGAAGACATTTTGATTGAATAGGTAGGTTTGCACTTGCTGGTCTCAGTTTCCTTGATTAAGTAAGGTGAAAATGAATTGTTGGGTGAAGGGGTCAGGGCTTGAGTGACCTTAATTCTGGCCATATGTAAGTAGAAAATGCCCCAAAGGGGAAAAAATTGTGTTTTTTCCCTTTATATCAGAAAGCTCTCATGTAAATTACACTGCTGCCTAAGGTTGAATAAACAACCTAATAGTCAGGCAGGGGTTTTAATCCCAAAGCCATCAGCTGTGGCTCAGAGATGCATCTGCTAGGAGGAAGAGGTCCCCTGTTCTAATTTACAAAAATTCCTCCAATGGGCTAGTTGAACCATCATCCAATGAGTCAACAGCTATGTAATTAAGAAGTTGTCTTTTCCACTGTGCTCCAAGTACTCTTCACTTTATACAGGTTTTTGAAGCTAGGATGTTAAAATGAGTTGCAGCTTCATGCCGCCTTCTGTTTTCTTTTTGGCAGATAATACCACTAGTCTGACTGATAAACACCTGGACCCAGTCAGGGAAAATCTAGGAAGGAGCTGGAAAAGCTGTGCACGGAAACTGGGCTTCACTGAATCTCAGATTGATGAAATTGACCATGACTATGAGCGAGATGGATTAAAAGAAAAGGTTTACCAGATGCTCCAAAAGTGGCTGATGAGAGAAGGCAATAAGGGGGCAACAGTGGGAAAGCTGGCCTTTGCACTCCACCAGTGTTCAAGACTAGACCTTCTGAACAACTTGAAATATATCAGCCAGAACTAACTCTAAAAGGAGCTTTGGCAGCAATAAGTAAACTCCTCACTTAGTGAGTAATCCACTGAAAATGTGCTGCCGCAGATCATCCAGAATTCTTTCCTCATCAGTATGGATCCTGTACTTGCATAAAAACCATGTTCTGCATTTCACAGTTAGACAATGGGAAAGAAGTCTACAGCAAACAACCTGCTACACAGGAAGACTTATTAATGGCCAAGCCTTAATGAAAAGAAGAAGCCTAAGTGGGTTTGAAAAGGAAAGAAAAGATATTTGAGAAAGATCATTTTCTTTTACTTTATCCCATAACCTTCAGTTCTGCTATTCATTCCGTTTTCTGGAATTTTGTTTGAGCGACAAAAGAAATTTCAGAGAATGTAAACTAAATCAGCTTTCTTATTTTGTGCTCTTTTTTCCACATAGGCTCCTGTTATAACCAAAGTACAGAAAAATTCTAAGTTCTCTTCAAATACTATGATGTTTTTTGGTATTACAACCACAGTTCATTCCAAAATTATGTGTTCCGTTACTTCAATATCAAATTCTGTATCAGTCATTACAGGCTTCAAGAACTGCACGCAATCTCCATAAATTAACTGAAGGGATTTTATGATTTACTAAGAAGGGGGGAAAAACAAAAAAGCACAATTTCCCAGGCAGTCATTGCAAGAAATTGCTACTAATTGTGACAATTACAAAAAGTCTTAAGTTTTTCAGTTCCTCCCTAGTGTTCTGGCACTTTAGGCACTTTCCCAACCTGTGTGCCCCGCAGAGGGAGCAGGTGTGCGAGGAATGTTATCTTCACCTTGGCTGTGACTGGAGCCTTGGAGCTGATCACTGTTGAACATCTCTCCAGTTTACCCCCAGGTGCTGTATAAATATTTTAATTTTTTTTCTGTGAGCTACAATGTAGAAAAAAGGCCAGCTTCACAATCTGGTAATTGTGCTTCTAGCACTCAACCTTTCAAAGCCCACATGAAACTCAGGAATGAATGAAGAGTCTGGAAGACTGGAACACTGAAGCCAACTGGGCCACCCAGGATCACTGTCAGAACTTTGCTAACCGGAAAGGGTATGCCATGGAGGAAAGGAGAGGGGTGCGGATTGACCAGTCGGGCTGTCTGAACAGATTCTAGTGCCGGGTGGGTTGATAACAGAATTGTTCATTCTGATTCTAATCCTCCTCCAGCTCAACCCAGCAGATAAACACACACACCTGAAGTGGGACTGTAAAGAGTTTCTCAGCCTCGGCACTATTGGCATCTTGGGCTGGATAATTCTTTGTTGTGGGGAACTGTCCTATGCATTGTTGGATGTTTGAAAACAACCCTGGCCTCTACCCACTAGATGACAGTAGCACTGTTCTCCCTCTCTTCCCATCCCCAGTTGTTACAAAGATGTCTCTAGGCATTGCCAGATGTTCCCTGGAAAAGTGAAATTGCACCAGCTGAGAAGAACACTGTTACAAAGTAATGAACCTCAATTTTCTTACCAACACATACACAGGCTCACTCCTTAGTTGCCACACAGCTCTGATCACAAAGACCAAAAGCAAAACTAAAGGGGGAAAGGGTCCCAGGCTTTGCTAGTGGGAGTTGGATGCTTTCTTTTCTAAATGTATCCCTTGTACCTTGTCTTAACAGTGTTCTAAAATCTTTAACTTCCAAAGAGATTGAATGATCCATAATAAGGGGCAAAAATGAAAAGTATTCTGACTCTTCAAAAATAAAATTTTGTACCTTAAATACAAGCCATTGAAATGATGTGTATTTGTATAAATGAGACAGTTTAGGTTTCTCCACTGAGACTTTACCATTTCAGTTGGCAGTTCCTATACCTAATCCTCTTTTCACTGCCTGCTATTGGTAGGAGAAAGGAAGCACATGGTAAAAAGAGGAGAAGCTTCTGGACAGAGCATTGTGTCTCTCAGTATGAAAGCTCACCGCACTGAGAGCCTGCAGCACTGCTGTCCTGTCAAGTTTCAGAGGCCTTTGCTTCAGTCCCAACCCTAAAAACTGGGCTGAAAAAAGTCAAATTTGTATCTGAGGAGTTTCAGGACAAGACCCAGGCACCACAAAAACACTAGTCTTCAGAGAAACCAACTAAGTGAACTGACACAGACTACAAAATGAGAAAGAAGATTATCCATAGTGTTCCAAAAAACTATAGGGTTCCAAAAAAGATAGATCCTAAGGTTACTGCTGGTAAATAAGACACACTTCCAGCTCGTTCTTGCTCAGCAGAATGCCACTTGTTATGCTCATAACCTTTGCTTTGGATCTAGAATATGAAGTTAGGTCTTCAAAAATAAGTTCTTTTTTACAAAATGTTTTAAATAGTATTTTGCTGAATGTTTTAATGTGTGTTATTTTTAGAGAACAGTTTTTCTTATTAATGCTAATATAAAAAGTTAGGTGTTTATATGATGATTGCAGAGGCTTCTGATCGACAAATCATTGAAGGGCAGTGCTACTGCAATGAATTTTATATGATGTAATAATCCACATACAGGGTCCTGAAATCAAGCAGAATTAAATTCCCCTTTGCCACCCTTTAGCTCTATACCTAGGGCATGCTCCCTAACCTCTCCTAACTTTAGTTTCCTCATCTATAAATAGAAAGGGCAAAGTACCTGTGGTTGGTGTAAAGAATAAAATAAAATATTGCATCATAAGGTGCCTGGCACAAAAATAGTAGCTATTTTTTAAACTGTATGCTTGCATTATACAAAAAGGCCTAGCTCTCAAGTGTGTACCTTAAACTGTGATACCAATAATTTCACAGTACCACCATTTTGCATACCAGTAGGATAGCTGGTATTAAAATTATAGACAATTATTTTTAACCCTCATCATCTCTGAAAAGAAATAATAATCAACATTTCAGGAAAAAATAAAGAAATGTTGACCCCAATTTTGATTTGTGAAATTCAAGTGACAGTAGTCAGCTGAAATACATATTTTCTTTCTATGCAGAAAATTTGATGTGACAGATTTATATTGAAAGTAGAACATAAATATTTTTACATATTCCATAGTTAAGCCAAACCTGCCTTTATTACTCAAGGAATTCCAATGGGCCAGTAAGGATACAGCAGGTAACAAAACTTTCCATGGCTGTAACACTTAAAAGCACCATGGGTCTCTTGGAGGAAAAATAATGTAATATGCAAGGAAGCTGTTGTCATCTTGAGTCACTCAAGCCAAGATTCTGCCAGTTATTCCCCGTTAAGGGGAGGCATAGTGTTATTATTAAAGGGGTGTTGTTTTTCTCCACTGAATCTTCAAGTCCAGATGTTTATAAAGCTTGAATTTTATGGTCTTGAAAAAATATTTTAGCATAGCAAAATACACGTAACATAAATTTACCATCTTAACCATTTTCAATTGTACAACTCAGTGGCATTAAGTATGTTCACACTGTGCTACCATCACCACCATCCAAGTCCGTCCTTATTAAACACAAACTCTCTGTCTCTCTCCACCTAGTCACTTACAACCACTATTCTACTTTCTATGTTTATGAATTTGTCTCCCCTGGGGCCCACATGTAAGTGGAATCAGCCAGTAACTGTCCTTTTGTGATTGGCTTATCCACTGAGCATGATGTCTCCAAGTTTCAGAATTTCCTTTTTAAGACAAAGCAATACTCTGTTATGTGGATACACATTTTATTTATACTTTCATTCATTGATGGACAATTGAGTTGCTTCCACTTTTTGGCTATTGTGAATAATGCTGCTATAAACTGGATGTATCAATATTAATTTGAGACCCTGATTTCCATTCTTTGGACTGTATATGCAGAAATAGAATTGTCAGGTAGTCCCATATTACTTTTTTGGCAAATGGACATACTATTTTCCACAGCCACTGCACCACTTTACATTCCCTACAATGCACATAGTTCACAGTTCCAAATCTCACCATATCCTCCTTAACATTAATTTGTTTGTTTGTTTAATCTTCACCTGATGACATGATTACTGATTTTAGTGAGAAAGTGAGGGAGAGAGAAAGGGAGAGAAACATGGAAGAGAGAAACATCTATTGGTTGCCTCTCGTTGGCACCCCCACCAATATATGCACCTAGGCATGTGCCTAGACTGAGACCTTTCTTTGTGGGGAGAATGTCCCAACCAACTGAGCCGCACCAGCCAGGGCTGGTTTGTTGTTTGTTTGTTTGTTTGTTTTTAATAGCCATTCTAATGAGTGTGAGGTGGTATGTGGAGAGCAGGATCAATAAAATGGCATTGGTCTGACCAAGATAGCATAAACTACATAAAATCGAGTCACTCATGTCAACCAAAATGGCTGTCAGTCAGACAGGACAGTTTGATTCAAGAGGGAAACTATCTAAGAGCAGACATGTCTGGCAAAGAGACATGCCTAAGACATTTGCACATGTGACCAGAATAGTGATGTCTGCAGAGCGGGACCACCCATAGATGGGCTCCTGGGGAAATTCCACACTGGCCAGCAGGGATGTTGAGCAGAACAGCCATGTAACACCCGTTGGCTCCTGGGGAAATTCCACACCTGGCATCAGGGGTGCGGGGACATCTATCGAAAAGACCCAGAAGGGTGGCATACACCACTTTGAAGGTATAACTGAAGCAGGCTCCAGACCACTGCTGAGACAGCCAAGCTCCACACTCCAGAGTGCTGCTCCATGCCACGCTGATCTCCCTTGGCATGGGCTGCCCCAGGCTCTGCCCTGTTGGACTGGGGACATCTGTCCTGCTATGCACCTGGCTCTGGAGATCATTCCTTGGCAAGACGCTGGCAAATCCCTTGCCCACGATGTCTCCAGAGCCTGCACACGAGACTCTGGTTCATTATCCCCCATTGATTGTGTGTGTGTGAGTTACATTTCTCTTAGATTGTTAGAGTGTGAATAGGAATTAATGTATGTTTCAGTGGTACTTTGAGTGAACCTGCATTCAACAAAAGTGAGTGAATAGCATAGTTACTGGGTGTGACTCTTGTCTATTCCTTTGTGCCTGGCTGCTCGGCAGACAGCTAGCTGAGAAGTTCCCCAGCTGACTTATAGGAAAGACTATATTGGGAACATATGCTCATGACAGTATGAAGAATAAAAATGGTCTAATTCTATCGTCTCTAGAAGCAAATATACTGCAAGCCCCTATTTCTCAGGGATCTGCGAGAATTTAGCGAATTGTCAGATTGGGGCGGAGGAGGTAGGGAGCAATAAGAAAATGTGAGGCGGAGCAAAGCAAGCGAAAGCTGGGCTGCCTAGGGAAGGGGGAGCGGCCTGGCGCTTGCGAGTTTCCTAGCTAGCGGTGTCAGCTGTGGTTGCCCAGGGAGGCTTGCAGGTGTCCACGCATGCGCTCCCTGGGTTCGTGCGACCTGGGACTATGGCGAAGGCGCTACGTAGCCGAGGAGCGCTAAGTCTGCGGCTCCTTCTTTCGGCTCTGAAGTCTAGTGTCTCCGTTCCTCTGACCCGGACCGAGGCCTCCTTCGGGTAATGGCTCCCACTCCCCTGCGGGAGTTCCCGTGGCAAGTTCAAGAGTTGGGGGCTGAGGGTGGGGGCAGGGTGAGAGTGGAGAGGACGCTATGCGGGGAGGGCACAAGCTGGCTGGAGGGGTTAGGAGCTGGGAGCAGGGAGTGCGGTGGAGCTGACCTCCCGCCCCTCTGCTGGCCCTGCCTTGGCACTGGAGCAGTGCAGCGCCTTCAGTTCTGGAACTCTGGAGCCTTGAAAGATCTTGTGGTAGAGCCCAGCCCCTCTGTTATGCAGACCAAAGATGGGACAGGTACTAAGCCAGGACAAGTGAAATAGGGAAACTGAGACGGATAAACAGCCGAGCAGTTTACAGCCAGGTAGTAAATCACAAATCTTCTGTAGCCAAGCCAAGGACACTTAAAAAGAAATGATTTACACTTCTCCCCAACCAGAGGGTAAATAGCTTAAATCACTCTAGCCAGGGAAATACATAGCAGAAATCCAACTGGTACCATTTGTGCCAACCATACTCAAGGACAGGTGAAGTTAAGGGAATAAATCTCATTTTAGCACATCAGCATAAAATTGATGAATATTCTACTGAGATCCTTCCCAATGGCCTTTAAACTCTCAGACTTTAAAAACCCTTAAAAATAAAGGGTCCCAGCATGCTCTTCCTCCCTGGAGTACACCTTCACCTTTCCCTTCCTCTTCCCCTCCTCTTCCTGCAGGAGCACTCATTCTCTAAACCCTAAGGGACCTCAGTGAGACTTGCAACCTGGGGAGCAATGGGCAGCAGCAGCAGCTCCTCCAGGGCTAACTCCATGAACAAGTGTCCAAGGCCCACTTTTTTTGACTTTCTTGAGAGCCAAAGCTGCCTGGCCTAGGCGCTCCTGTTACTTCTTCTATCCTAAGCTCTTCCTTGTGTCAGTGTCCCTAGCTTTAATAAATGTACTCCCAAAATCACCTGGACTCGTGTTGTGAGATCTCTGCTGTACAAAGTCAAGAACCAACACACTATAGGCTGGGCCTAGGCAGACCTGCTCAGGACCAGGTCCCTTTCCAGTAACAAAGGGGCCCAGGGAGGAAATGTTATTTGCTTAGTCACAGACATACTCCTGACAGAGATTACAACCTCAAACCCCTTACTCAGTCTGTTACTCTGTCCAGTCTCTTTAAGAGGCAATAATCTCTCATGTTTCATTGATCAGAAGCCAACCTGAGAATGTCTGTGACCTGTTAGCTGTCAGAAACACAGTCCCAAGTTCCAGAGTCTTTGCTGACCTCATGCAGGAGAATCACCTTGGGAACTGGGAAAATTCAAATTCCTGGGTCTGACTCCCAGAGGTTCTGATGTTTGTCTGTGGAGATGCCCAAGAATCTACCTTTCTCTTTTTCTGACACACCCCCTGCCCATACACACACACGAATTTTGAGATAAACCAATAACCAAAAAAACCCCTCGATTAATCTCTGACTCACTGTCTTAAAAGTGGGTGTCCTGCATCCCAAGAGATACTAGGCAGAAAATGTGGGTAGAGAAGCAAGAAGGTTGCTTTACTTTATTGCCTACCACCCTACACACACACACACACACACACACACACACACACACACACACAATGTATATGGGCAAGCTTCATTCATGACCAGGAAGAAAAGTCAAATGCTAGATAGGTACTTGGCATTTAGAACTTCACTATATGTAATGTGGAAACTTCTCATTTGAAAACATTTTTGGAAAGAGAAAGGAAAAATGTGACTGGCTTTACATTTTTTATGTTGTGATTGAGTAGGAGCTTCACATTGGATTTAGGGTCTTTTAATTATTTTAGATATTTTGGAAGATTTTTCAGGACTGTTTTGATGCAGATGGAAAAATATGTAAATGTCTGCAGCAGTGTAAATTAACACTGAAAAACGGCGATTAATCCAATTTACTGTTTGCAGAAAGGGATTGAAATAAAGTGATTTTACCAATATCAAAGTTATAATAGGTTATTTAATGGCTTTAGGAAGGAAGGTCAGTCCATTAGCACTGCAAATTGTTCTCCCTAAAACATCTCTGAAAAACAGGTTTCGCTGGATTTTGAACTGCCATTTTATAAATGTGCTTGCAAATTAATATGGCATGTCATCAGGGAAAACAAGCAGTGGTGTCGGTTAACCCTGAAACAAGGCTGCAGCCCGGTATAAGTCGGTGAAAGCACTCCTGAAACAGCCAGTGCCTGACCTGCAATTGAGTTGTGTTCCAAAAACTTGTTTGTAAGTCTGTTTTTTGGAAGGCTGGCTCTTTTCTTATTTTATAATCTATAAAGTGGTGTGTCCCAGGGTTAGATTAAAAGAGCATTTTTTACTTAGAATTGTAGGTTACATACAGTTACAATATTAATAACCTACAGAACCTAAAAACCTGCCTGAAGAAAAATGTTTTCCAAATTCAAACTCAGGATGTTCTGCCAGAGAATCAGAGACTCTCCACCTGGCGCCTGCCACCACCATCTGTCCGGTGGTCAGGGTGCATGTGCCTCCATTGCTGGAGCCACAGAAATTAGGTAGTGTGGATGCAGATTTTATTTACTGGCTAAAAGGTGTCAAGAAGCTAAGAATGAGTCACAATCTGAGGTGTCTGTGTCCCAGGGGCCTGTCAGTCAAAAATCAAGCATGACTGATATCAAACAGAACCTGAAGTAATCATCACACTTATAGTCAGGAATGTGCGGAGGAAGGATGCATTATAAAGGTGGAAGTTTCAGAAAAAGAGTTTCCTGCTTTAGTGAAACTTCCTACTGGAGAGGATTACAATTTGAAATTGAGACTTTTTAAATTCTGTAATACCAGAACAGAGCACATTTAAAGTACTTTCAACAAAATCAAAATTAAAATGAAAAGCTAGAGTCCCTGAGATGGGGAAAGCTAGAGGGGCAGGGAGGCGTGCCTAAGCCGGGACAGTGGATAGCAGGTGTAAAGAGCTCATATCCATCATCATCTCATAGAAGAAATCGGGATAAATTGGTTGGAGAGATCAAAGAAAAAGAAAAGAATAAGAAGTTGAAGGGAGATGCAGCTTTAAACAGATTATTCCAGCAAATCTATTTAGATGGTTCTGCTGAAGTGAAAGGTGCCATGAAAAATCATTCATGGGGTCTGGTGGGGCAGTTTTGAGCGCCAACCAGTCTGATGAAGGAAAAAGGAAAGTTGAAATCAGTCCTCCTGATGATGTGGAATGGAAAAAATACTAAAAAATTAATTTGCTATCACTGTAGTGTGTGTGTATATATTTATTCACTTAAAGTTCATGTAAATCCATGCCCTATGGTAGCTTTATTGTAGCCAGTGGTTACTTTGGAAAAAAAAATATGAAGGAAATAGCTACACATATAAGATAATAGAAAATATGTAGGAATTTCAAAGTGAAGCTGTATCCTATTAATAGCCCCCATTTTTATTTCTAAACAAAGCATAAAAAGTGTCAAAGGCTCTGGTGTCAGACAGATGCTCATCTTGACTTTGCAATTTACGAGCAGCATGATTGGGCAAATTGCTTAAACCATCTAATCCTCAGGTACGTCAGTGGTAGAATTTGGTGAGTATAATGTGCATCACATGGAAAAATGAATGAGATTATACCGGTGTTCGCAGTGGCTGTTATTTAGTTTAATGATAACAAAGTGCAGAAGGAAATTAGAAGGGTTTTTTTTTTAAATATAAAAAGAGATCATAAAAGCTGAAGGAAGGGAAGCCTGTTTAAGCCCATGCCTCAGCACTGACTCCTGGGGCCCTGGAGAGGAGGAGACAGCAGCACCCAGTCGTGACAACACACTGGCTTGGACATTGACAAAGTTGGTGGGGGGAGGGTGGTCATCTTATTGCACATAACATCCTCATTGTACAAATTTACAAGCAAAGAAGGGAGCCCCTCAAAAATCTTTAGTGAATGAGGAGTAAAATGTCAGGGGGTTGAGCAAAAAAGAAAATAAAGAAAAGGCCTCAAAAAGTAAACATAAAGACTGATTTACAAAAAAGAAAAAAAAACAACAGAAACCTGGCATGGCACATACCCAGTCAGAACAGACCCTGGCAGTAGCCCTAGCCTGAGACCCTCTCCGTGCCAAGCATGAGGAGTTAGATGCTGCATCATGGGAGATCTTGGGCCAAGGAAGGTCAGTGGCAAGGCAAAGGCTCTTGAGATGAGAGCTTATGGACCCAGTTATTCAACAATCAACACAGGAATATTTCACCATCTTAAAAAACAGTCTGGCTGTATCAGAGCAGACAGGCATTCCCAAGTAGAGCTGCAGGAGCTGCAGAAGCTGCAGCTGGCTGGGGAATGTGAGAAATCATATGCCTAAAGGACAGCCTTAAGATAAAGGTTGTCCTTGTGGACACGTGAGATCTGTCTCACCCTTGGGAATGCTGCCAAGGCAGCTGCCGGGGCAGGTAGCTTGTCTAGACCTGCCACGGTTCAGATGACTGCCCGGGGTCTGTGCTGCTGATGCTCCCCCTCACAGTCCATTGTGCGTCATTCCCACGTCAGCCTGCACTTTGGCACTACTGGTTTCCAGCTCACCAGGCATATGCCTGCGGGCCTGTGCAACCATTGATTTGAGCAAGACCCTAGGTACTTTCGTAGGGTCTTTTGTAAGCCCTGAGCTGTGCTGTAGGATATTCAAACATGAAGACACAGTCCAGATCTGTAGTCTAGTAAGGAAGATACAAACTCATGTTCTTTTTCAGGTTCAGAAAACTGAAGCATAAATCAAAATAGTCTGAGAAACCTGAAGAAGGTACTAGAGCTGACTCGTGTCTATAAAAGGGCTGTGTTGTCATATTACATTGGCACTGCTAAATAATAATTTTTCTTTGGGGATGGGCTTTTTCTTTTCTAGCACCTCAATAACCTCTACCAAAGTGGCTGTGAATGGTGTCGACCTGCATTATCAGCGGACTGGAGAGGGCGAGCATGCTGTCTTGCTGCTTCCTGGAATGTTGGGTCTGGAAGGTTTTAATGGAATGCTCTTGAGTGCTGTGTAATCTGTGATGCTTTCACAATATAGTTGCCAAATACTGATCATTAATTTTAGTGCTTTTATGGAAATGCTTTAAGTAGTATTTGCTACAATTAATGTTAGGTGATTTAGAAAGATAACTTTCTGGTATATGCATTATTTTATTTCTTTAAATACCTGGTTTTTCCCATGCAAATATACACTATAGTTGGTTGCCTACTATAGGGATTGTTCTGTGTGGCATGGGAATATAGCCCAGGCCCCACTCAGAAAGGCCAGTGGGGAGTGAGGTCCAGCACACAGGAGCCAGGCCCACAGATAGGTTTTCCCGTGAGGAATCAGGCCTGCATTGTACCTAGGCTGCTATGAGGCTTGTTTTTGCTAAAACTCCCTCACCCTGAATTGAGGCAACAAGTACTTACTGAACTTCCTAAAGTCTGTGCTAAACCTCCCAAGTATGAAGTGTAACCAGTTCAACCACTATTCCCCTTGGTCTGCAACATCCTTCTCTTTGAAGTAATCAGCAACATTCTTTCCTTTGTTATCTGTAAAAGGTAATGACCTATAGCAAACCTGTGCATAGTAAATGAGGACCATCCTCAATGTAATGTACCCAGAAAAGTAATGAAAGCCTGTCCAGGCAGGGGTTGGGACATACTCTGTCTCTTAGAGAGTGGCCCTTTTTCTCCACAGGACTTCTGTAGTCCATGTGAATTTGTCTCTTGCAGCCACAACACATGGATCCTGCCGGCCAGGGTTCGCATCAGGCTACAGTTTGGGAGTTAAGGAAAGGGGTGTGGGAAGAAGGGATAGATGAAGGCCAAAGACGAGTGGGTGACCAGCCATTACAGATTGCTGTTTTTAAGGCTTTTCTTGGATGGGAGACTTTCGGCGCTGAAAGGTAGATTGAGGGCCCTTCGTGGTGAACTATGTGTCCAATCAAAGTAAGAGCTAAGAGCAAAACTGAGCTTACTGACTTTTTGAAAATCAAAATTAGATTGGTATGAATGGAGTATTGTAAAGCCAGCTGAATCTCAGTCTCATTTTGCAGATAAGTAGTTTAGGAAGTTCAGGATGTAGAAAGTTCAGGAGGAAATTTTCCAATGATCTCAGAACATCTCAGATTTGGTTTTAAGGTTTTGGCATTGCATTGTTTTGTTTAGTTAAATAATCCCAATTGATACTTATTTCATTATGATGTGTTTTCTTTCTGTTAAAATGTTTCATTTACTTGGTGGTTTCACTTGGTTGAGCCTCAGCTGATTATGGTACCACTGTAGCTATTGAGGCATCCTTGTCTAGATAGTATTTAGTGTCTGTTTTTTCCCTTTAAGCTGTATAATGAAGGAGGACATTTAACCCAGTGGCTGATGTTGAACCAAAGTTATCTGTAAAAGCAATGAATAATTTACCAGCTTAGATTTCCATTATTTCAGATTGCAATCATTATCCAGGTATAAAAAACTTGACAATTTAATTTTTGTTTATGTAAAACATTAACCTCATTCAAAAATCAAAAAGTCAAACAGTGAGATTGCCCCTCCAGTCCCCTGTCTCCAGCACCCAGTTCCCCTCTCCACATGTAACCAGTGTTGATGTGTTTCCTTCTCAAGTGTCATATACTGGCAACTGTTCCTTAAAATAAACTTTTTAAGGAAGTTTTAGTATTGTTTGCACTAAAGTCTTCAAATGTATACCTGTGTGCCCGAAAGCAAGTATTGTTATTTCTGAAGTTGGTCTTGAGCTGGGCTGTTACCTTTTCCCGCCTTCTCACCTCCTGCCCCTCCGCAGTAGTCCCATGGACAAGTCCCTCCAGTTCAGGAACCATAAGAGCAGAAGGCATGAGCTTGAGATCCATTTATGTTTTTATCTTGGGTTTCTGAATGACTTACCTGATGTTGAGAAAGGCATATCTTGTCAGAACAATGATAACATCAAATGATACTATACCATTTTGAAAGACATTTTCTAGCAATAGCTAGTTTATCAAGCAAGACATTTAGTATCTCTTTGTGGTCTGAGTTATGAGTCCTCAAAAACCAAGCAGACCTTAAAGATAAAGTGCTGATGTGCCCCTGGACTGAGCTCTTTGAGGAACTGGCCTTGCACACTGCTTTGAGTGGGTGTGAGCACAACACCTGAGAGAGCTCGATGTGTGTGTGCCCGCAGTGGCCGTGACTAGTGGGCAGGCTGGGAACTCCCAGTCAAGTCTGCCACTGACTTGTTGATATATACTGTTCTATAATTTTTTAATGAAATAAACTGATGTGTTTCTTTTACACCCTGCCCTCCCCAATGATTTCTTTCTAGTTTAACTTTCTAGTTGCTAGTTATAACTGCCCAAAAGTCTTCTGGGCTATTCACATTAGCTTAGTAAAAAAACAACCGGGGGTTTAGAATTCTACTTTAAATAACTTGGATCAAATCTCATAAATTAGTCTACAGATATTGGAATCTCTCTTACTTGTAACAGCCACTTAAAAAAAGAAAAGCAAAAAATAACCCAGAAGCATATTATCAGTAAACCTAATTCTGTACAGTTTCATGATTTATTTTTTAAAGGAAAATGAGTCTAAAGAGGTACCAAAAGGGCTGGACTTTAGTAATCCCTGACCAGGGCGTCTGTCTTTCTCAAAGTGGCCACTAGGGGGCCATAAGAGGCACGTCTGAGCTCCCAGGGAAAAGGAAGTCAGCCTCCCGGTAAATGGATTCCATCCCTGCAAGGCTCCTCTGCTGATTATAATCTGATGTCTAACTTTGAGTATAAATTATTTGCTTTTTTTAGGCTTGCAATTATTTATTTTTTTTTACAGTAATGCGTTTGAAATAATGAAAGCATTCACTTGAATTAATCAAGTCGCTGTTTTTAGGAAGTGGAGAGACTGATTTTGGACCTCAGATTAAAAACCTAAATAAGAAGCTCTTCACAGTGGTTGCCTGGGATCCTCGAGGATATGGATATTCCAGACCCCCAGATCGAGATTTCCCAGGGGACTTTTTTGAAAGGGATGCAAAAGATGCTGTTGATTTGATGAAGGTGGGTCTCTTAGAAAAGAACCCAAGGGAGGGAGGATGACTGAGCCTGTCTTCATTTATTTTGGTTTTGTTTTTTATTTCTATAGGGGCGATACCATGAGACTCCTACAGAAAATTTAAAAAGTTCAAATACATATAAAGAAGAAAGTAGAAGTATCCCACAGTCCAACTATGTAGAGATACCACCACCAAGACTTTGAGACTCTGCATTTCTGGCCAGTCTTAGTCCATATGTAAATACACATGTTTATATTGATGGCATGATACTGTACCTAATGTTTTTGTAACTTACTAGTTCATTGAACAATTTGTCAAAGAGATACTTCCCTGTCAATAAATATTAGTTTATATCAGTATTATAATAGGTGCATAGTATTTCATTGTATTGGATAAACTGTGTCTTATTTTACCTCTCTTCTAATGGTAGATAAATAATTTAATTTCTTTATCCTTACCAGAGGATACATTTTATGATTTTAAAGAGAGAGAAAGAGAGAAACATCAATGTGAGAGAGAAACATCAATCAGTTGTCTCCCGCACATGCTACAACCAGAGGGACTGAACCCACAATCTTTTGATACACGAGACAAAGCTCCAACCAACTGATCCACCCTGCCAGGGCAATAACTTAATTTTTAAGTTGCCCTTTTTTGGTGATTATAAACAGCAGTGCAGTGAACATTCTGTTGTCCATGGACATTTTAGTTCTCATTTTTTTGCTATTATAACAATACTTCTTCAGGCATCCTGGACCTGTGTCCTGGTCCACATGTGTAAGAGTTCCATACATATTTAGGAGATGGTTTGCAGGCTTATAGAAGATGCATAGCTTCATTTTACAACATAGTGCCAAGTTGTTATCCATAGTAGTCATTCCAATTCTTGAACTTAATTTCCCCAATTAATTAATTTTTACCTCTAGACAGCATCTTTCAGATGTGATCTTTTTTCATTGTCCCTGTGTAACACATTTTCAGAGCCTGGTTGATTCACCCCAGGATTAGCATAACCTCCCCATGACACCATTCTCTTCCAGAGTTCCTCCAGCCACTTCTTCACAATGTTGCAGTCGGTCACTTTACCAGATGCAATGATTTTATTTCTTCCAGTTTCCCTTTCTAATCTACACAGCTGTTCTCAGAGTCTTTGCTCAGGTGTGCATGCGCATGCACTTGTCATTTGTCATGTCCAAGTACTGATCCCCATTATTTCCAGTTCCTTGAGACTTTATCCAAGGAATGAAGTGGTTCCTTCAAAATTTGAAGCAATTATATTTACACTAAATTAGTTGAGAGAAAACATTTTTCTCATCAAATGGTGAACTCTAGGATTTTTCATAATTGCCAGCTGATACTCCAAACCCCACAGTGGTATTGATTCTGTTAATTATTGATTATTGGGTTCTTTTAACAGAGGAGCAATAACCTGTGCTGTGTTTTTTGTTGTATTTCTCATAGACACTGAAGTTTAAAAAGTTCTCTTTGCTGGGGTGGAGTGATGGTGGCATTACAGCACTCATTGCAGCTGCAAAATACCCATCTTACATCCACAAGATGGTGATTTGGGGAGCCAACGCCTATGTGACTGAGGAGGATGAAATGATTTATCAGGGTAGGTTCCGTGAACTGGAGATGTCATGACAAGTAATATCTCCCTCTTCCCTCTCTCCTTTAATTCCTTTTTTAAAAGATTTTATTTCTCTATTTATAGAGGGAGGGGGAAGGGAAGAAGAAAGAGAGAGAAATATTGATGTGGGAAAGAAATATCAATCAGTGTCTTCTCATGCATGCCCCAACCAGGGACTGAACCCACAACCCAGACATGAACCCTGACTGGAATCAAACCGGTGACCTTTCACTTTTGTGAAGATGAGGCCTAACCAACTGAGCCACACTGGTCAGGGCTCCTCTTTAATTCTCATTTTGATATATAGTTACAAGTCATATCTCATCCTCTTCTGCTTTTCAATCTGAAGGTAGGAAAAATAATTTCTCAGAAAAGTAATGCAATTTAACCAGTTTATGTTTAAGAGCTTTCTCTTTTCAAAAGTGATACTTTCATGACTCAAAAAAGGTCTAAATTAGTATTTACATTTTCTACTACTGATAGTGAACTTCAAGGAAGGAGAGGTTTGATGTGCACTGTTATTTATATAACCTCATTTAAAATAATGTGAGTATAAAAGGGAACATTGTATTCAAATATGAAACCTAATATATATTTTTAAAGAGGGGAAAGAAGGGAGAAAGAAAGAGAGAGAAACATCAGTGTGTGGTTGCCTCTCGCACGCCCCCAGCTGGGGACCTGGCCTGCAACCCAGGCATGAGCCCCAGACTGAGAATCCAAGCAGTGGCTCTTTGGTTCACAGGCTGGTGCTCAGTCCACTGAGCTACACCAGCCAGAGCTGAAACCTTTTATTTTGATGAAGAATTTTTGTACTATTCACATTTTTTAAGGTTGTCCTTCAGGCTAATTTTTAAGGTTTTTAGAGACACAGGAACAGGGGCCTATGGACTAAATCCAGCTCACCATCTGTTTTTATAAGACCTAAGCACCCATCTAGGAGGCTAGCACAGTGACTTCTGGAGATCAGTATTGGGTGCCCCTCTTCATCTGCCTTTCCTCCTCCACTCCAGTGTTGTTGACAGGACCTGTACTGGTGGCCACCTACATGTTGGCAACTGTTAGTTATAACCAGGCAGACAGCCATGGAATTTCAGTTGGCAGTTCAGGAGTTGCTCAGCCTCCAGCAGGCTGTGTACATTGAGACAACGGGGCTCTTGAGAGGGCCCTTGAGAGGAGGGAGAGGTGATTCAGAATCTGGGGGTCCCTGGGACACAAAGCGAAATTGACCTGGGTTACCCTAATACCACCACATGTTAGCCTGTCTCACCAGGACCCTTCTCTTCAGGCCAATAGCTTTTTGTCCTGAGTATGTTTCTATTGGTTCCCAGATGGCCTATTCCAGACAATTAGGCCAAGGTAAATCAGAAGTTTCTCTCCTTTATCTATGTAATGTTTTTGTTTTTGCCTCCTGGCCTACAAAGCCTAAAATAAATATTTAGACTGTCTGGTCATTTACAGAAATAGTTTGCAGCCCTATGCACTAGAATACCACAAGTCTAATCTTTTTCAGTTATTCTGAAATTCACATGACTTAAGTAAGCTATTTAATGGCAAAGTTTTATTGTAGAGTCTTAGTTCTTGACAGTCCTTGTCTTTGGTAAAGAACTATGAAACTTAAATGGTAAGTCAGATTTAGTTACCAGTCCTCTTTGGTACTCCTGCCTGCCCTTATTGCATCTCCACCTGGTTCTGAGGAGAGTGCCTGTCTTATGCAAAGTAAGCTGTTTCATTTTGTTGCTGGTCCTTTCCCTCCCACCCTCTAGGACACAGTGCCTTGGTCCTTTCTACCTCTCCTTTATCATTGACTTCTCTCCCTGGATCTTCCTCTCAGCCTATAAAGGTGGGGGCATGGTTCCTCCTCCAAAAGGTTGTCTTTCTTACCTACAGTTACTACAGTGCCATTCTTTGTCCTTTTCCACAACTGACTGAAAGAGTTGTCTGCACTCTCTACTTCTACACATTCTCCTCTCATTCCTTCGCCACTGCATTCTGGCCCATCTCCCACTGCGGCCCATACTGAAACTGTTCTCACTGAGATAAGTATGATCTTGATGTTGTCAAAGCCAGTGGGTTCTTTCAGAGTTGTAAGTAGTATTCCCTTGTTACTCTTTTGTTTCTCCTTTATAACTCTTCAAAAGTTTTTAAGGGCTACAGTGATATCCTTCCTTTGTTCCCTAAAACTGATAATTTGTATAATCTCTCCTTTTATCCTGACCTGTTTAACTAGACGATTCAATTTCATTGTTTTTTTTTTCTTTTTTAAAAGTATATTTTAGTTCTGGCTGGCGTTGCTCAGTGGATTGAGCGCAGGCTGCGAACCAAAGCATCGCAGGTTCGATTCCCAGTCAGGGCACATGCTTGGGTTGTAGGCCATTGCCCCCAGCAACCGCACATTGATGTTTCTCTCTCTCTTTCTCCCTCCCTTCCCTCTCTAAAAATAAATAAATAAAATCTTAATAAAAAATCTTTTTAAAAAAGTATATTTTATTAATTATACTATTATAGTTGTCCCATTTTTTTTATCCTCTTTATCCCTGTCTGCCCTGTACCACCTCTCCTAGCAGCAGTCCCCCTGCTTAGTTCATGTCCATGGGTCGTACATATAAGTTCTTTAGCTTCTACATTTCTTATACTATTCTTTACCTCCCCCTGTCTATTTTATGCCCACCAATTATACTTCTTATTCCCTGTACCTTTTCCCCCCATTTCCCCTTTCCCCTCCCCACTGATAACCATCCATGTGGTCTCCATTTCTATGATTCTGTTCCTATTCTACTTGTTTGCTTAGTTTTTGCTTTTTTAGGTTCAGTCGTTGATAGTTGTGAGTTTTTTGTCATTTTACTGTTCATAGTTTTTTATCTTCTTTTTTTTTCTTACATAAGTCCCTTTAGTATTTCATTTGTAAGGGCTTGGTGATGGTGAACTCCTTTAACTTGATCTTATCTGGGAAGCACTTTATCTGCCCTTTCATTCTAAATGACAGCTTTGCTGGATAGAGTAATCTTGGATGTAGATCCTTGTCTTTCATGAAGTTCAATACTTTCTTCCAGCCCCTTCTTGCCTGTAAGGTTTCTTTTGAAAAATCAGTTGATAGTCTAATGGGAACTCCTTTGTAGATAACTCTCTGTTTTTCTCTTGTTGCTTTTAAGATTCTCTCCTTATCTTTCATTTTGGGTAATGTAATTATGATGCGCCTTGGTGCTTCTTCTTGGATCCAATTTCTTAGGAACTCTTATTTGAAAATCCTTCAAGGTCTCCCATGACTTTCTGGATAAGTAAGTTCAAACTTCTCAGCTTTGCTCACAGAGTTTGAGTGACCCAGGACCTTCTGTCTTTCCAGGTCCATCTCCTACTACTTTTGTCTTCCCTTCCCGCACACACCCATCTTTTTCTTCAGCCACCTGAGAATCGCTGAAGTTCTGAAAGTAGCATGGTTCTCAGCCTCCGTGTCACTGCACATGTTGTTCCTGCTCCGGTATTTGCTTGCTGACTTCCGTTCTCATGGACATAAGCACATCAGTATTTACCCTCTAGGAAGCCCGCCTAGCACTAATGCCACTGCCTGGAGCTCACTAGCCCTCTTCTGTCTTCCCCCATGCTTTCCCATGACACCAAGCACGTCTAATACCATGCTTGTTTACCAGTCCTTGACTAAACAGCAGAGACTGCAATCTCATTCAAGTTTGTATCTGTTGTGACTAACACACAGCAGACTTCAAATAATGTTTACTGGATTAACTCGCTAATTAATGATGAATAAGTGTTTTCTTCATTAAGATTCCAGCACCTGTCACAAATTATATGCTCAAAAAATATCAATTTATTTTTGGATAGAAATTAGTTGTTTTGGACCAGCAAACAGTTTGATTCAAATGGCTGTTTTATGAACTTAACTATGAAACATAATTACTACTCATTTTTGGTGGAAATTATGCTTTGGTGTAAACTGGCTTCCTCTTGAAAAGAAGAGGACAGAAGTAAATATACTAGATAAATACATAGAATTTTTTTAAGTTTTATTTTTTATTTTAGAGAGACAGAGGAAGGGGGAGAGAGAGAGAGAGACATTGACTTTTTGTGGAACAACAAACCACAAACCCTGGCATATTGGGATGATGCTCTAACCAACTGAGCTACCCAGATGGGGCATTACATAGACTATTTTTGAGTGCTTGTAATATACCAGGCACTGTTGTTAGTGTATATCCTGTCTAACTTACTTGCTTTTATGCCATAATGTTATTATAATTCTCAATTTTTAGATAAGGAAACCGTAGCACAGAGAAGTTAAAGAACTTGCTCAGGGTCTTAGAGCTAGTAAGTACAAGAGCTGGGATTCAAATTTAGGCAGTATAACTTCCAAGCCTATGTTATTAACCACAGTGCTCAATATGAACATCTGGCTTGCCTCAGCTGCAGCTGGATTTCCCTGTCCCTTGAGATTTCGGTAATGTTTATTGTGGGAGTCTAAGGTTTTGCCCAAGATTTCTCGTTCCCATAGATATCACTTGCTCCAAATGCCTGGTTCATTTTAAGGATCTCTTGCTGTCCCAAGTGGACGAATTTACATTTTCACAAGAAAAATATCTCCATACTGAACATCAGCTAATTTGGTTCTTAAAAGGTTTTTGCCTTCCCACCACAGGGGCCTTATTTACTTTGTAAAAATTTGTAAAACACATAAATTTAAAATATTATATAAAAGCTATTAAAATTATATATTAACATTAATGTATAATACTATATCATATAAGAAATAAACATTTTATATTATTATATATTTGATTATAGAATTTTTTTTTAGCTACACAAAGGGATTCTATACTGTAACTTGTTTCCTATGACTCACTCTTCACTGAACATTGTGTTTCTGAGATTCATCCATGATGTTGCTGTATCATATTTCATTGAGCAAACATGTTGCATTTTATTTTCCCTTTCCTTTATCAATGGACAGTTGTTCTGTTTCCAGTGTTGTTATGAGC